TTCATGGAAAAGGCAAAGTCCTATTTCCTTGAATTAAACAGGAATGAGAACAGTGGGAATGTCTTTGTTCAGTATTTCACATGCCTTTCCACTCACTCTTCAGCCTATTTTCCTTTTTGCTTTGCTCTGTTCAAGGTAACACTTCCAAGTGCTCGTCTTGTATCTCTGCCTTTCTGTCTTTTCTACTTCTACATCACTGCTATTTTCTCTTGCACCTCTCACTCCTTCCCTGCCTTTTCAATTCTCTCTCACAAAAATTGACACGGAAGAAGAAAACCCAAAGAGACTCCTCTGCCTTAGATGGTGTTTCTCTTGGGAGTGAGGTGTACCTCTCAGAAGTCTCTTACTCATTCAGATTATCTGGCTCCATCAAAGAACTTAACTGTTCATTCTTACAACTATTTTAACTGTAGGATGTGCTGTACCATTATGACACACAGAAGGTACAGTCTAAATCCATATATTTTGCCTAAAAAAAGCCACAGTGAAAATATACACTTCTCTGCCCCTTGGTAAGGATTTGATTTAAGACAGCCAGTGATCCAGCAACATATATTCTTTTTGTCTTTGAACATCAAATAAACCTTAAAGCGTGATTCTATTTGGAAAAGTTTGACCTTTTAAAAGTATATTATATTTTGTTTTCCAACAATTCCAAATCAGACTTGCTCCATCTAGATATAAAACTGAAACAAAACATTTTTTTTCCTGGTGCTAGCATCACAGACACAGCTGAGATCTGAAATTTAATTTCCTGGCCCAAATCGAGGACTGTGTGACGCACTTACAGTGCAATTATTCTCGGTTTCTTTGTACCTTCTCAGGTAAAGGCTCGATGACTCAGACTTAATTAGTTGTTCCACAGATGATACTGAGTCAGAAAAACCCGCTTCATTCTCCCATAGATTAATTTCTCTTGACTGTGATAGTTATAGATGCCCTGAGACTTCTAGAAGAGACGATGTCTAATGGCACTGTCCCAAACAAACTTCATGATGGGTAATTACTCTGCACCAGGGTGTATTGCACCCGTCCTTGCCTGGTCTTTGCAATATGTACCCATGTAGAAACTGAGAAACTCTTCAGCTGATTTTCACTGAGGGCACAGTAGGCACTCTCTGAACATCAAGCCTCTCATGAAGTTCCTCAAAAAACGAAATACCCAGAATGACTAGTTTACTTGAATACTCTGACCACAGTCTTTGAGTGATGAGACCAAAATCACCACACCGCAAAAGAGAAGTCCAGTAGAAACTTTAGTATTAATCAGACACTTAATTAATATTCTCTTATTCTCCAGACAGACTGCTATGAGAGAGCTTGCACAGATGAAATTGTAGAGAGGACCAGGCACCGACTTTGTCAACCTTTGTCATGTCAACCCTGAGAGACCTGTGGTTTTTTTTTCTTACCAGAACATCAGCATTTTCACCATTGGACTGTCGTGTCATTTACAAATCCCACAGGCCATAAAGTCTTTCCTCTTCATCCTGCTTAAAGGTGGAACTATAGCATGGCCCTTTGCTAAGTCCATCACCAAGGAGGTCGCCATGAACAGGACCTTATTCCATTTTCTCACCTGTGACTCCCAGCTGTTTTACCTGCATTTGCCTGAGGTTGGTTGGGATGAACTTGGTACGTGAGCTAGAAATGTTTGTGTTAACATTGCCAATCTTAATAAAAAAAAATATTAGAAATGACTCAAACATCATTTTCAAGAAAAATGTGTTCCTGTCTCCCTGGATGTTTTAAACTATTAAATGCTGAGAATAGGAATTGATCAGAGGACAGGCTGAATATGATCTTGGCCACACTGTGCCTTCTGGATGTCACCAATGGATGTGATGTTGGGCATGTTTAAAACATCACTATTTAATGTTATACGTGATTGCTGAAAGGGCACTATACCTTGCAAAACATATCAGCCTGTTTGATGGGATGCAATGGTCTGTTGCGCAGCCTCTAACGCAGTGGCTACTGTAACAGGTCAGTGACTTTTGTCATTTCACAGTGCACAGAGTCTGGCTTTCCACAGATGATAATTGGGCATTTGCAATTGCCTACCGAATGGTTCCTCACACCTACGACATCTCAAAATAGATGAAGGGGGGTTGAATTAACTCTAAGGAGACAGGATACAACAAAGACAACAAATAAAAAAAGAAAGGTAAACGCATACAGAGAAAGATGCTGCTGCTGTGCCTGGCAGTATTACTAATTACAGAAATCTAGACCAAAAACATGGCAGGAATAATTTCATTATGGATCAGGATGGAGGTGATCTCTGTGCTGGAGCTGCCAGGCAACAAAATGGGTTGAAAACAGAGCTCATCCAGGATATGAGCTACAGAAAACAATGCAAAAATTGATACTGGCTTCAGAAGGATTGGATTCAGTCCCCCTGCATTTGGCTTCAGCTTCTCCTTTAACTAGGGATGCAACTCGAAATATGCAGTCATGGCATTCCTGGAGTCCAGAGTCCAATGCTGTCTCTGGGATCCTTTCCATTTACTCTAAGATCAGTCCATGAGACTTTGTTTTATAGTATACATGAAAGAATGTTGCACCCTAACAAACAGACGCTGTACCATTATAACACAGGGAGTTATTTTATCTATATGTTATCTGTCGTGCAGGATTTATGGAAATAAATCTGTCTTTCAGGCCTCCTCAGCATAGAGGTCATTGGAAAATTACCAAAGTTTCTCTCTTTACCTAACTGTGCCTGCCCAACAAAGAGTGGAGCCCTTGCTGTTGCTCTTACAACCCCATCTCACATTTTATTTCTTATTACAAGAAAAAAAAATGTGCTAAATGACACAGTGAAACCTATCACTGTGTTTTTCAGTGGTGACCAAGTCTGATGTTGTCAGAAGTCTAGGCTGAACAGCAAAATAAATCATGTTGCCATAAAAAATAGAGGAAGCTCTTCAGTTTCATGGGATCAACATTAACGAAATTGAAAAATCAAGAGGGGATTGTTCAAAGCAGCTGCAGCAATTTGACTTACCTTCACAGATCAAAATAGAGCAGGGAAAGAGAAAGCGAAGACTAAAGCTAAGCCTGCTAGAGATTTGCAAGCATGAAATCTAAAGATCTGAAGGAAGAGAGGTTTCCCTTTTTTAGGCGATAGCCCTCTTGGGACTTTTTAAAAACCTAATTGGTATTTAGAAGATTGATTATCCTAATGTCATAGGGGACAACGGCTCAGTCTGGATAACTGGGTGAATTTGCATCACAATGCGATATTGGGAAGCAATACCTTTGTGGAGGATTTTATTGAGGTTCAAGTCATCAAAGATGTGTTATAATGACAACAGAGATACATTTTTTTATCTTCATGCCTTTCCTTTTCATTTCCTAACCATACACCAGGTGAAGGAAAATTCCAGCCTTCATCATAAAGCAGAAAAATGTTTCCAGTCCTTGTGGTTGCACAGACATAAAGCAAATTAAAAGAACCTATTACCTTCCTGCAAATGTATCATTTCAAGCCAGCTTTGTAATTTTGGTGGCCAGTTGCATGAGTTTTAAAGTCCCTAGGAGTTAATTAGCCCTGTCTCCCTTCTTTCCTTTACTGTGCTTTAAAAAGCCAAAGAAACAGTTAAGTTTTCCAGGTTAAGGTTGCTCATTGCCTTACCTGATAATTAGTTACTAATTTAGCCCCTAGTTTATGCTGCCTTTGGCTTTTTATTTATCCTTTTTATTTAACGTGCTTCTTTGAAAAGGAATTTTATGACCATATAATGGCTCAGGAAGATTTTTTCCAAGTTGATGTTTCTTTTCAGTGGTTATGTTATAACCTGTGCTGGCCACTGCCTCTGAAGGTCACATACATCCCTTCCTCACGCTCCTCTGTTTCCACCCTTCTTCTTGTCCCTGTTTTTGGTTTGTTTGTTTGAGTCTTCCTCTCCATGACAATCAAATTAAAGCCGTACAGTTCTCTGGGAGGAGAAGGCAGACAAAAAGCAGAAAGCCTGCATTGCTCTGGTGAGCATGTTAGCCTCTGGGGCTGCATAACAGCTTTCTGCAACTCTAATTAAGACGTGGCCTGTGGTTACAACAGTACGCGGCCTGAGCCAGTCTGGCATATTTTTGCTTTTATTATTATTGTTTTGATCCCTCGTGTCAGGGCAGCAGTCATTATGGCCTGGCTCGTGCAGGCCATGCTGCCCTCCAACGGATGGAGACCAGGCTCTCCGTGGCTTCCCTTGTTCCTTCACCTCCCTGAGATGTCTCTAGCTGCAGCCTGACAGAAAGCTCATTTTCTATGATGTTCTGTGTGTGGTGAAGAGCCGAGAAGCTAAACACTTAAAAAGAGACCACTGTCAGGTATTTCCGAAGCCAAGAAAATCTACCCAAGCTGTGGGTTAGGTTATTACCAGGCTGTTACCAACCCATAAACCCTCGTCTGTCAGTGTGATTTTATTCCTGAGTCCAAAGCGTGTTACAGACTGATCTATGCAGTTCTCCAGCCCCTGGCCAGGCAATGTACACCCACTACGGGCCTATCTGGTGCTGGCCAACATGGGAAGGGAGGCTGAGCTCCAGCATGGCCAAGGTGGGACGGGAGCCCAGGCTCCAGCACACCCAGTCCCTGCCAGCAAAGAGCTGCCCACATTCCCCGACAGGGCTGGCGCTTCCACCCAGGCCCCACCGCCCGCTGGCTGTCAGGAGGCTGAGGGAGCGCGCCAAGGAAAGGGCTCCTGAGTGTGGGATCCCACAGGACGATAGAACCAGTGACACCCCCCTCAGCTGCGAGCTCACCCCACTCCACCAAGCTGGTACTGAGGCGCAGTGGTGCCCTGTGGGGCACGAGAGCCCGTGAGGCACCGCTCAGCTCACGGAGCACTCAGTGACTCGTCCTCCATGCTGCCGAGAGGCCTCAGCTCCCCTCGCAACAGAGGAAAAAGAGGAGAAGGGGGGAACGGGCTAGCGAAGCTCCCCGGGGGTGCGGGCATGGCGGCGGCATCGGGCCGTGAGGGGCCGGCCCTACCCGGCAGCCGCCGGCTGGGAACACCCCCTTCGCCCGGGCGTTGCGGCGGGGGGAGCGGACGTGACAGGCCGGGCGCAGGCTGCCGGAGACGGAGGGCGATGGTGGTCCCCAGGGGACAGGAGCACCAGGCCCCCCAGGAGGTACCGATAGCGGCGTCTCTCCCGGGCAGAGCGGCGGAGGTGCAGCCGTTCCTCCGGCCCCGCTGCACCGGCTTCCCCTCGGGCTCCCTGCCGGCTCCTTGCCCTCCCCGCGGGGCCGGGGTTCCGCCGGGAGCCCGGGGGTGTGTGCTGCACAGCGGGCTGGGCCCTGCGGCCTCCCCCGCCCCCGTGAGGGGGGGTCCGGCGGGGCGGGGGGGAGCCGGGCCCTGTGGGGCTGCGCCTGTGTAGGTCACCTTCTGTGCGGCATTTCCCCCTCCTCTGCCTCTTCTCAGGTCTCCGTGGGGAACGGAAGGGAGAGGAGGAGGGGAGGGCGCGGAGGTGGGTGCCTCTGAAGGGGAGACCGACCCCGAGCCCCGTTGGCCGCCTGTGGGTCTGAGGTGTCCGGGTGCCCCCCAGGAACATCACGCCCAGCCCTGGAGCTGTGGGGTTTCACCCCGTCCCGTGGGGACAGGGTGCTGTGTGGTGAGGGTTTGGAGCGCTGGGACTATCCAGGCTGCCCCTCAGAGTCTTAACTTTTTTGTTACTGCCCTGCTTTGGGTTTGCTGAAAACTGCCTTGCCCCAAAAAGGTGGGATTCCACGCCAATTTCTCCTCCTGTTTTCCTAGAAATATCGTAGAAGCCTTAATGTGAGGTGTGCAGGTTTGAGAGCCCTGAAATTGAAGGAAATGTACAAGATGGAGAAGAAATTGACTGTCTTATGGCAATAGGAGCAATCTGGCTGGCTGGAGGCAAGCAGCGGACCAGGAGTTTGAACAGCAAAAGCAGATTAAAGTATTTAACTGGGTGAAAAAGATAGGATGTTAAATCCATGTAGAAATGCATTACCTATTTCTTTAATGTCTTTCAAACTAGCAACCAAGTTGCTAATGGAACTCAAGGGTTTTTTTCTGAGGTATATTCTGTTAAGGTAAAGTTTGGAGAATATTTGTTCAAAGAACAAAAGAGAAACATTTGAATTAGTGCTGCATGTTTCCGTTTGCCAGGTTGAAACAAGAGAAGATGAGGAACAAAACATCAAGTTGACTGAAATTTTGGAACTGTTGGTGGCTGCTGGGTATTTTCGAGCAAGAATCAAAGGATTATCACCCTTTGACAAGGTGAGACCAACCAATGTAGTATTTTTTGAAACCTTTTATAAGTATATGAAGATGATGTGGTTTTTGCAGGTTAGTTTAGCAGTTCTAGGGGATTAAAAAAAAAAGATTCTTGGAACACATGAGGCTTTCCTATGTAAATAATTCTGCAAATGACCCAGTTTCAGACAGACAAGACCTCCTCAGTCTTGAAAAATGATTTTGTGCAGCAAGGCCTGTTTTAAAGGACACAATTGGATGCCAGCAGATTGCTGGTGTGCTTTTTTGTGGGTGTTACAGCCTAAGTTAGTCATACAGGGGGAAATTATATATATCTATATATATAAAACTATATGAGAAAATAGATGAAGTATATGAGCCCTTCTCTCAACTGCAGTTAGAATAGCTAGAAAGATTTGATACTTGGGTAACTTTAAAAAGAAGTATTCATTAATGAGAAATGAGGAAATGTTTGTCTTGAGAGGCTCAGTGTAAGGATGGAACAGTTAGCTTAGCTTACTTTGGGGCTGTTTTTACATATCTTTAGAATGTCATGTATGTTGGCCTTCCATTGTCCTAGTCAGGAAGTATGTGATACTGACAGTGAGCAAAGTTCAGGTTGAAACAAGAGTTGTGAATTGTTTTATTGCTGACTCCTGCGAGAAATTCCTGAACCAAGGTTTGGAAGCACAGAACCACGGCAGCCTTGAAATGGACTCTTCTGTTTTCTGCTGTTTCTTTCATCATAGCACAGTCTTACTTTGCAATGCAATTTTAGTTTCTTCAAACTGTGTGGCATTACTGACCTTAGCTGCTCAGGAGGCTGTGCACGCAGACACTAAGTAGTTTGAAGGAGGCCGCCTCAGGATGTAATACTGTTGCATTTCAGTGTAGAAATGAATGCATCAGGTTTATACTTGCCTTAATATAATTGCACAGTTACCATTTCGTGACAGTGCCCAACCTTTACAAAAATGAGCGTTGCCATTGAAAATAATCTAGCTGCTGGTATAAAAGGGATACCAGTTGACTGAGAGCAGGAATGTGTTAGAAAACCTTGTATAGAGCACCCCAATTTGCTGTGTAATGTTGGTAAGTTATTCCACATTTTAATCCCTTGTTTCTGTTCTTTGCCTTTGCATACATTTAGGTTATCTTGCATATGTTTATACAAGGTTGTTGTAAATACTTTTGGAATTTATGTGAAATTGATGAAATGGCTCAGGAGTTTAAATATGCCTGAGTATCTGTAGGAATAGGGCCTTAAATGCAGAATTCTAGAGCTGTGAATTTCTACTACTATGTTGATACCGTGCCTAGCACTTGGCGTTGCATATGTCAGCAAGCAAAGAATAATAGCAGCAAAGATATATATATATATAAAGGTAAATATGTGAATACAGAAATGATGAGCCTTGATAAAATTTTGATATGCCCACTTTTTGAAGTGAGCATACATTTAACACACTGTTGTGGTTTATCTATTTTTTTTTTTTAATCTGAGATCTGTTTCAAAACTAATATATAAAGCTAAGAGGGGACTTTAGAATGCCACTAGCTGCTGGGGGCTTTTGGTTGCTTTTTTTTTTTTTTATCTGGTCTTGTGTATTGTATGCAGAAGTTGATAAATATACGTTATTTCTATGTATTTCAGTCTCTATATAGGAATATTGAGGATGGAGAAAATACGAAACTGTAGTTTCTAAAATAAATAAAGCCTTTAAGATATATTTGGTTTTAGCTCTTCAAATGAAAATGGAACTAACCATGCTGTTGCTCCTTTGCTAGGTGGTAGGCGGCATGACGTGGTGTATCACTACGTGCAACTTCGATATCGATGTTGATTTATTGTTTCAGGAAAACTCTACTATTGGTCAAAAAATGTAAGTTGATTAAATGGCAAGTGTGGTTTGTTTGTTTTTTTTTTTCTTCTTAGGAAAGAAGGACAGGGTGGGGGAGGAAGTTACCTGATATTTGCTTGTTTATAAGATAGATTTTTAGTCCGAATTTCCTGCTTTTCAAGGCCACTCATTTGCAAAACATCGCACTGCTTTCAGGGTTTCTCAGACTGTAGTTCCACGAACTGTAAAACCAAAAAGCAGCTTATTCCAAAAAAGGCGGTGCTGTTCCCCTCTGGGCTGCCATGTTCCTATATCCCTGCTTAGCAGTGAAAGGGTTTGTGTGGCTCCACATTGAACTGGATTGGGAACTGATCCAGATTAAAACCTACCAAAAAAAAAAAAATTGGGGGAAAATAGTTTTAACATGAATCAGTTCCTGGATCCCGTTCTCTGTGCAGCTGCACAGATGCTTGTGCTGGCACAAGGGGATGATGCAGAGGCCAAAACAAAGGGCAGAGGGAGACCACGCTGCTGGAAACTGGAGTGCAATGTTAGAAGGCCTTCCTTGAGTTCTCTGTGTCTGCAGTTTTGCTGTGTTAATAACCCCTGATTCTCCTTGGTGGTTCTGGGTTGGAATTGTAGGCATCAGCAAACAGAATTTAAAGCATATTGCTGTTGCTGAAACAGTTACCTGCCCCACAGTGAGGAGGAAGAGGAGGAGTTCCTTCCTGATAGTGACCCAATGAGGCCATTTTGGTTTGATTCATTTCTTATGCATGGAATTTGCTCATAAACCAGGTAATTCATGTGTTAAGGAGGTTGTAAAAATTGTTTGTGCTGAGAAAAGGGAATATGTTCTAAAATATGTTATTTTTTTATGCATTTCTGTGATAAAAGAGCTGTAATTAAAATTTGCAGGAAGTAAGAATATTCAGTCAAGTTACAGTTGCATGAAGAGACTTGTTTGCTCAATGTAGTTGAAAAGAACATCTTTTTGTGCTGTTTTCTTGAAAGTCATTTAGCGTTGGCAAGACTGTAACGCTTTTAAAAATAAAGTTTTGTGGTTATTGCCATTTAACTTGGCAATATTCAAATCATCACAGATAACAATGCTTTATGTAATTAAGTGCATAGAATTAAGTAGAGACTAGGCATGAAGATAGTGGTGGCAGTTTTTACAATTGCTAAGGTTTTATAATTGCTGTCTTTGTTATCCTTAAGAACAGCAGGTTAGGAAATAGTTAAGTTGTTCTGAAAATGTTCTGTTATCTTTCCAGCTGAGTGGATGTAAAACTGGCAAAACAAAAACCAGGCTCCTCTCCCAAAAACAGCAACAGTGATTTATTTGTAAATCTGAAGTGTTCAGAGTCACACAAGCATAGGCTATTTTGATATCAGCATAATGTTTATATTGGTGGTGGCTCAGTGCTTCTGTGATGTTTTCAAGATAAGGAAAAGTTGTGTTTTCTCAGTATTATTCTGAAGACCTTTGATGGTGTCCTATTATTTAACTGCTGGGTTGAAATAAACATGGAAACATACATTCAGGGACGATCTTGCATCTACTCCATCTACTCGATAAAGAACTTTTTTTTTTTAATTGCATTTGCTTTGTGCAGAGAGGTGCTGCTATTTTCATGTTGTAGAACATGAAAATATGGTGCCATATATGGTACCATAATATGGTGCCACAACGGAAATTGCCTTTTAAGAATTATGGCAAATTTTTCACTTCTCTTAAGAAGTACAACTTTTCAGGTTCTGTTCCCAGACTTTGGCCTCTTTCTCATATCTTTTGTTCCCCTTCTGTTCTTCCAGAGTATCAGTTGTCTGTTTGGGCAGTACTGAGTATCACTGTGGTCAATACTAGGCCAGTTAATTTTTTTCCTTCATGGAAAAATAGTTTGTTTTCCCACTAGGGTGTTCCTCCACGGTGCTGACACCTGCTTTAAAAATGTGCTTGACAGCATTGGCAGCAAAAAAATACCTTGCCTTAAAATAAGGGATTCAGTGGAAGCGGGATGGTGTTCTTGTAGATGGATCCCTTGTGTCAGGGTAATCCTTGCACTTTACCAGCTCTTACTTGAGCTGAAGAATGAGATGGTTGCCAGCAAATTCAGTTTTACTCACTTTGAAGCCATGTGAAGTATACGGTGCATTTAGCTTTTAGGTGTATTTAAACTCATAAAATTTCAGTAGCAATGTCAAGATATATTTGGGAGTGTTCTGCTAAACAAATTTTTAAGTCTTTACATTTGATTCTGGACTTTCTTTGAATCCATGTCTTTTACTTTGTTTAAGTGTCCTTAAAGCTAGCATTACTTCATGTATGCATATATTACAATATGCAAAGGTGTTTGTAAATACATCTTACATGGGCATTTCATCTGACCAGATGTACAGATCTTTAAATGAAATCACAAGGTAGAAGCCTGCAAGAAGGGCGTTTAATCACCTCTTCCCAGTCAAATAATATATACAGTACAATTTAAAAGCTACTTTGTAGATGAAAGTTTGATTGCTTTTCATAGCTGTATACAATGAAAGCCACTAGAGGGAACCTTCTAACTGCTAGCTGTATTTGCAAAAATAAATTGTAATTTACAAAAGAAAATTGTAGCATATATAAATTTGTGTTTTTGTTGTTTTATTAGTGCCTTAACTGAAAAAATTGTGTCAGTATTACCAAAAATGAAGTGTCCTCATCGTTTGGAACCACATCAGATCCAGGGACTGGATTTCATTCATATATTTCCTGTTGTACAGGTAATAATTTTGTGATGTATCGATACTTTGCTGAAAAAAAGCCATAAAACTTGCACAAGCATTTTAACAAAGACCTGTATTATTGTTTGGCTCTTTATTTAACTTGGGAATGAAAAATCACAGAGGAAGTAGTTTAAATGAATGTTTTTAAAGAATTGAGTGATGTTATGGATGATACAGTTTTTAAGTATTGTTTGATCCACATTTAAGAAAAACACAAAACAGACTTTTAAAATTCTTTGAAATGGAGTCAGATTCTGCCTTTTGTGGAATCCCTGCTTAAAGAAACTGAAGTTTAAGTTTGTTTTGGAACCCAAGAATCTACTTTGCCAGACTAGGATGTAGAACAAACTTATTACAGTCTATGTTTAAGTTTATGGAGTAAGTTATGCAGATAGTCATTCAGTCAGGAGGACGTCAATAAGGCAAAAGCCAGTTGGGGTTGTTTCTTTAAGCATAATTCATCCTTTGTCCATATCACTTAAAAACTGTATGGATGGAAAAATAAATTGCTCTGACATGTGATCCTGTTGCTGTGGATCTGTTGAGCACCACTTACTGATCATGTGCACGCCTGTAGTTCCCCTTTTCATTAAGGTTTAAGCTAGCACGTGGTGTGTTCCCCTTAGTGTGGTATCTTGAGAATCCTTGGTATGCCGTTACCATTTTTTGATTTTACTTTCATCTGCGCACAGAAAAGTATCTTTGATAAACAGGGAGAATGAAGACTCTTAAGCAAGCTGCTTTTTCATTAAATAACTCCTTACCTCCTGCCTGTGAAAGAATTTAGCAAGTGAGAGTTTAATCTAAATTCCAGTTTGTAACAAGTGGAGAAAACTTCCTGTTGTCTCTTATCTTCTAGTAGGGGCCTCCTGAGGAAAACCACACTAACTGCACTCCCCACAAAGGTGTGTTGTGGTGTGTGCTACTGCTACACAGCTTTCAAGCTGTGCTTGTGCTGCCAAGGGTGGAAAGTTTGTATCTTGTTAATGTGAGGTTTTTTACTTCTGAAGTTGTATTTTACTACCAAAAAAAAAATTTAAAAAATCCCAACTCAGGTTAATTTCTTGCCCTGGTCACTTGATGATAATGAATGGTTACATTTATCAAATATAAGGCTTCTCTGGTGGGAGAAGTAACTCCTCTCCTAAAGTGAGAACGTGAACTATTACTCCTGCTGTAAAAACGATAGCACTAGGTATTCTTTTCTCTGATCTGCTTTATCTGAAATCTTGATTTGTGATACTACCTCTACAAAGGAGGAAACATTAATTATAAGCAGGGCTTTCTCTGAAAGCAGCAATTCTCAGTAGCTGGCCAGTAGGTGGTATATCTAATCCATACTTGGTGAAGAAGTCTTTCTTGATGAGCTCAGGTTTATTTTGTATGTAGAGGATCTTTTTCAGAAATTGTGGCGTTCTGTCAGGTCCCTGTAAAGTTCTGCTTACTCCAGATACTGTTGGTTCCTCATTTTGTCCCAATCAAGTTAGACTTTCAAGAAAACTTTTATTGGTGTCACCGGTATGCTCTGCTCTGAGAAGGACCATGTGAGTGCTATAATACGTTGATCACACCATGGGATATAAGAATTATGTGTTTGATAATGACACTTTACAAAGTGCCCTCTTAAATTCGGCATTTTGCTTGCTATCTGTAATTCTCATATCAGTCCCCAAATCTTGCAGCAGCTCTTTCCTCTGCCTGGTGTTGTGTCCCAATAGCTCTTGCACTTTGCAAGCTACTCTGGTGAACTTGATGGGGTGGAATTTATATTAATACTTCCCAACAGGAAGAAATTAGATTGAGCTGGCTCACTGCCATAGACTGTAGCAGAACTTAAAAAAGAAAAAAGGCTTGAAAAAAATTCTAGTGGGCAGAAATGGTGCTGTTCTTCCTAGTAAAGTCTGCTGATGTTCCCAGGGAAAAGGATGTACAATCTTCTGTTGAGATGTGCTTTTCAATTAACAGCTTGCATTTTCATCTCTCTTCTTGTCATCATCTTTCCCTCACTTTCCAGGGGTTCATGGTTATAGCACAGAAAACTGTTGCTAAGTTCAAACTTGGATCCCAAGATTGATCTGATCTCTTATGTGACCTCCTGCACAGGCTGTCAACAGCCGACAAGATTTATCTTCTCCAGCATTGTTTAAAATGTACTTCAATCTCTTGTGGCTTTTTGTGTGGTCTTATAAATGTCGGAAGAAGTCTTTTTTTCTTCTACGGGCATGTGGTTCTTCTTGAATACTTCACAGGCTTGAAGATATGTCTTTTCATGGTGGAACTGTAGTTTTTGAAAGCAATAAGTGATCTATAGTAGGAAAATTTGATAGAAATGCATATAATCTAGCTGTAAGGCCTTCTACCTGGGGTACAGCCAAGATTAATGAGATTGAGGTAGTGTTCCAAGTGGTGTCTTCTGTCAGAGTATAATGAACTAATGATATAAGACAAGTTCAGTGTTGGGTTCAGGCACTGAGAGCCCTGAACATTCTTCTGTTCAACTTTTAATTGTTTCAAATTCTAGCAGAGCTCCAGCCCATCTCCTCTCACTCAGACACATAGAGAATGGGTACTGTGAACAGTTCAAGCTTGCTTTGTGGAAGGATGACCATAGCAAAGCCCACAGACTGTATAAAAGCCACCTGACTATCCATTTGTTTTCAAATGTGCTCCCAAGGACTTCTTTGGAGTAGGGAGGGATGAACCTGTATGCAGTGCAGAGTACAGTCACGTTTTTGTACACGTGCTGTAAATCCAGTGCTTCCTACAACTAGAGGAATTTATTAGTTATTCAGTATGGTCTGCTCAGTAGAAGAACAAAGTTGATAGATTTTAAGAGTACAGTAGGGTTTTGAGATTTTTGAACGTTGGATAGGATGGATGTTGTGCTGGCTGGTACAGTTGAGCTCTTGGTCTTGTGCATTGTGAGGTGTGTGTGCTATTTCATGGTGTAGGTGAAAAGAAAAAGCCACAAAATTAACATCCCTTTGTTCCGTCAACTACTGTTGCGTATTTTCTATATCGTGTATTATTCTCTATTTTGATAATATAACATTAATGTTTAACAAGTAGTAACGATGAATACTATAGATATTATAACTACTTGATGTCGTGAAACATACTTTGTTTAAAAGTGTTTTTTAGCTTAAATAGTAGATTCCTTGACTAGGAGGTGGGGTTTATGCCACTCAGATTATTTTGGGAGGGCCCTTCAGAGGTTTTTTTGGGGGTGGGGTGGTAGGGTGTATTTTTAACTTTTTTTTTCCTCCTTAAAGATTGTAGCTAAAAGAATAATGTTCGACGTGGCCCACAACCATTTCTATTCCATAGATGCTCTTTTTTCCCCCCTTTTTGGAACGATTTTATTGAAGATGCAATTTTTTGGATTACAAAAATTCATATTGTCAAAATTTCAATGGACTTTGCTTATGCTTGTGAAGATTTCTTATGTTTTTGTTTATAAATTAATTTTTCAAGTAAGAATTCCTAATAGTTGGAATTTGCAATAGATTTCTCTTTCCGTACTTGTACTCTAATTACTTTCTTAAAGCAATTCAGTATATGAGAAGTTACAGTGCAGGCTAAGTAAAGGGAACATCGTGCAACAAAATAACTAATTTTGGAATACACTATTTACAAATAACATTCAGAAAAGTGGGGGTTTTAAGGATAGCACACTCTGCTCCACACTCTTCTCCTATGGGAAGGCAGTTTGGTCTTTTGACTATGGCTTTTGATTTATGACTCCCACTGTAGTATGAACAGTATGGCTCACTGAAGGTTGTATGGTTCAATATAGTTTAATAGGGTGAAGAATATTTAGGCTTTTACATTGATAAAACTTTGATTACAAGAGAAGGCCTGTGGTTTCTTAGTTTATACATTATCTGGTTGCTCTACTGAGCTTTTTAGTACACAGAAGAGTAGCAAAGTTTTTTAAATAGCTAATGCTGAGTCATTTTGTTAGGAGTAGGAACTGAATTACCATGTTTATAAAAAGATGTTCTTGTTTGTGTGCTTAAAATGTGCTTTTAGCTTTTATCCTGTATTAAAAATAATTATGCAGTAGTTTGGTGTTTGCTGCTGTTATTCTTCCCCTTTCCACTGATACAAATTTGTTGGGTTTTTTTTTCCCCAGTGGCTGGTGAAACGTGCAATAGAAACAAGGGAAGAAATGGGAGACTATATCCGTTCTTACTCTATATCACAATTTCAAAAAACTCATAGACTACCAGAGGTAAGATCAGGCCAGTTCTTGTTTCTGTTACAATATGTCAAATGCTCAGGTGCAGTACCAGTGTCACAGCTCCGAAACCAGCACAATATATCACAGTTGCCTTTGCTATTGTTTTATTAATAGGTCCTAGAGGACTTGGTGCACAAATTCAGCTGGGAAAAAAATTAAAACATTATTATGACAGAGAGTTCATAGATACTGGTTAACTTTTGCTTAATGGTTGCCTTAGTTTTTCTATTTGGTACTTTCGGTACTTTTGGCAATATTGGTGCTTTTCAGTCAGTCTGGCTTGCCAGGTAACTCACTTCTGGAGAGAATCTAGACCTTGGTGCACTGGATCCAGGCAAACTGTGTGACTGGAGTTGGGTTGCCTGAAACACGTTTGAGAACACCCGGCCTGCTGTGAAGAAGCTGATCTAGCAAAATGAGAAGTGATATGCTCTTATTGCTCTGTAACTTGAGTTTTTAGACTGCTTGAAATCAGCTCTTGTCTCTCTGTAGCCAAACCCCAAAATTTGTCCTTGAAAACTAGATTCCTAAAAAAAGTTCATTCAAAAACTGAACTTGGGGAAAGACAGAGGTGGACAGGTTTGGATTAAAAGGAAATACATTTGTCTCTGTAAAATATGATTGCCAGAAGAGTTAGAAGTGGAGTTTTATTTAGAAGTGTAATGGTAAGATCAATTTTGCACTGTTTGAGGTACCTTTTATCATATTCTTCTCCTTCTGATAGTAGTGAAATGCTGCCCACTTTGAAGTTACATGCTTACAACAGCGTTGAGATCCTCTCTTCCTATCCTGCAGTAATGATATGAAGGTTCCTTGGTGCAGGAGGAAAGCAGAAACAAGCTTGGATTTGTGCCTTCAGTGCAGAGGCATCAGTTCTGTTCATGCATATACCAAGGCAATTCCATGTTTAAAAACTAGAACCCAAGTTTTTCTCTAATTCAGTAACAACATTAAAGGTAGATGTCCCCATTATTAGGAAAGACAGCAGGATTTTATTAGCTTGAAGTGGTTTGGATTTTGTTTGATTTGTTGGTTTTGATTGTTTTTAATGCTCAGAAACTATAATAATAGTAGGAGAAACTTCTCTTTTCCACATTAAGCCCATCCCAACTTCATTTCTTCACAGTGTAGTAATGATTGGAGATCCCAGTAGTGGGCTGGGTTGCATTTATGTCAAGTACTGTATAAGCTGAAAGCAGAAATACTGCTGATCTAGATACAGTTTTAAACACCCACCTACCTACCTGATGAAAGAACCAAATACTTTTCTGTGTTACAGAAAATCACTAACACTTCACCAAATAATCGGGCAGCTCAGTTAGAAATTATGTGACAATTTTGTTTGCTAACTCATTACGATGCTTGAGATTTAATTTCCATTCCTGGTATTTTTAATGACCTCTGTTAATGTCTTGCAGGATGATGAATTTATGCAAAGAAAAGAGAAGGCTATCAAAACTGTTACTGATATTTGTGTAAGTATGTTGGATTTTTATGATTAAGAAGCAAGTGTTTTTAGTAATGAGATGGTAGAGGTTACTTTTCTTTAATGCATATGATCCTGGGATCCTTTTTCATGAAAAGGTCCCAGTTGAATTACACATCGAGCTTCATTCTTAGAACAAGTCTCAAATGCCTCAATTTGCCAAATAATCAGATTGAAAACCCTTTAGATGCAGTCTGTACGAGTAGGTAAACCATTATCAACTGCCTGCACAGAAAGTGTGGAGCTCCATGCTATCAAACAGAAGGCACAAGGTAACTTACAGGCTATTAAATCCTGAGTAGACTAAGTGTTTGTTTTAAGCTATCACCAGTTGGACTATTTGTCTTGTAATTAATCAAAATAGCAATTATCTCCTCAATTTAAACGTCTGCATTTCAGAACTTGTCTTTTTTACTTCTTGTAATTAGCAATGAAAACACACACCCTGCTCTGGAAGTGTCCAGTTTTTAGGTGCATCTTCATGGTAGATAAAGGTTTGACACTTGTTCATCACTGCTCAGAGTATCATCAGACAAACAGCTCTTCTTTAAATGCAGGAGCTCTGTTAGGATTATATCCTCTACAGCTGGCACTTGATCTTCTTAACGGCAGGATTAGTTCATGAGACCTCTTAAAGCATCAAGGCACGAGTGCTGTCTAGAAGAACACACAGAGTGAATTTCCAGGGGAGAAAGTGCACAAGTGACCCTATCTATCCATAGAAACTGGAAGAGGGAGAAGACAGCTATTAGATGAAGGCTTTTTTGCAGGTCACCTTTAAATCGTTATGCATTGGAATTGGAAGAGAAATCCACTTTCCTAAAAGAGGACCAGCAAGTGTGAAAGATTAGCCCGTTGTCTGAATTAATTATTACAACTCTGGTCTATGGACCTACCCTCCTCTTCTCAAGGGGACAATACAATGAGATTTATGGTTAAGATCAGGACTAAAGGTTAGAAGAGGGAATATTAAATATCAGTAATAGTTATTGGAGTAAGAACTACTGCAGCTGAAAGGTGACTATCTAGTGAACGGAGATTATCTTGCACTGTTTTTTTTTCAGCTACTCAATTTTCTGATGCCTACAATTTATGTAGCACAGATGTAATCTAGAATGCCATCATAAAAGCTATAATTACTTTTATGACTTATGTTGCTTTTCTGTAGGTGTGAAAGTACGTTTTTGTCGGAAATTCTTGATCATAAAAAGTTTTTTGGTGTGGCAAGCAAAAATGCAGCAAGATTTAATAGCTGGAAACCAAGATGACAGTAATTCAAATTAGAAATGAAGTAAAAATTGCAAAGGGTAACTGACAACTTTAGGAGAAACTTGCCAAGGAATAGTGCCTGTTTTCACTTGTTTGAAATATCTGCTTTGGGATTACATGTCTTTGAAATAGGCTGAAAGCTATTTCAGCAATGTTATGGTGCAGGAATTGCTTGTGGAAAATAATAATTTGTGTTGTACAAAAAACCAGGTCAAGCAAAGGGTAATCTTCCTCTTTTTATTTTATTTTAGAATTTTTGCAACTTCTTGCATTGAATCTTTTGTCACATCTGAATAGAATTTTCTGAAGTTAAATGTATATGGAAAGCCCAAGCTTTGATTTCAAGTTTTGCTTTTTTGTAAGGTATTTTTTCTGAGCATTCTGAGCCTGGGCCTCAAAGGATTCAAAAGACAGGAATGTAAAACAGACCAGAAGAGAGGGGACTGTTTCTTATTGATGTTGTTCATTTGGTGATGAAGTTTTTCTCTGCTGTGATGAGGGCTAGAATTTCATTTCAGAAGAAGAAGAGAAAACGTCACTTAATTGATTGAGGAATACACTTTTTAAAACATAGCAGTTGGATTAAAAAAAAAAAGTGTTTGAAATGACAGATTCTTGGCCAGTTTTTCCAGTACTTGCTAGCATGAGAGCACTAAATCCTAGACTTCAAGTGACTTCAAAGTCTTTGTTCCGGCAACAGAAATGTTGCATTACGGACTTGCCAAACAAAGAGCAAAACCAATTCCAGTCAAACTAAATCTTATCTTGTTTCCAGTTTCTAATTTGGAGAAAATTGAGGTGTTCGTAATTATTTTTCATTTGGTTTGGCTTTTGGTTTTCTTGTGCTCGACTTAGAGTAATTTTTCTAATGTTATTATATAGGCTTTCATAGTGGCATAGTTGATCTATATGGAAGGAGGAAAAAAAAAAAGGTACTTTAATCTAGGCCTATGTTTACAGTATTATAACAGTTGTGTCTGTGTAAATGGTCAGGATAGTGGCTCTGTCCTTCTGTTTCCATTTTGTTTTTAAATTGGAAGTAGCTCTGTCAGTACAAAATAGTACTTTTGAATCCTTGTTTAATTTGATGGGCTGTTGTCCAGCTGTAGGATCACATTAGGATAGCATGAGATCGAATGGTTTTAATTCCAAACCTTAAGATATTTTTGTTCCTTAAATTGCAATAAAATCTTCTTTAATTACATTGTAACTTGTGATCATTGAGTAGGTAATAATTACATTTAATTATCTAATAGGAGATCAAAAATAGAAGTAGCTTACGAAGGAGGGAAGATTTCTAGATACTGTCATTATCACCTAAATCATAGGACTTTTTAAATAGATATTGATTGTGTTTGATTCATGTTTCAAACATCATGGGGCTGTTTGAAGAAGTCATGTTTGTTGTTAAATACTCATAATTTTTAAAAACCTGGAAAGAAGGGTCCTGTAGCAAATTGTTACAAGTAAATACTCAGTAAGATTTTATCAAGCAATTCCCCAAAAAAAAAGTGAAGGATGTTTATTTGTGTAAGTATATTGAGTTGGAAAGCAAACAGTTGTATATATCACTCTAGATAACAATGCTTCGTTTCTTTTAGAAAAGCCTTGTACAAACTCTGAATTCCTTCACTGTCTTACAGGAGGTTTACAAACCCCAGAGAAAATATAAACGTCAGAAGGGAGCTGAAGAACTGCTAGATGAGGAATCAAAGGTTCATGCTACGCTTCTGGAATATGGCAGGTGAAAGGCTTCATTTAATTGTCTGTGGGTTTTGTATTGTGTGTATTTAGAAGTGTTCCATAGGAAATTTGGATTGTGGGGTTTTTTGCCACTAGAGAATCAAATGGTTTGAGATGTACCACTGTTTGGTTTCAGAATTTGTTTGCTTACCCTGTGAATTCTCTGAGAACTGGACAGTCCTTACGTGTGTGAACAATGTTTTGTACAACAGGAGCCCAAGTTCTGAATTTAGGCTGCTAGTAGGGCATGTTTATTTAACGTACTTGTTCTTTGCTTCATAAAAATGGCTTAACTTCCTCATGCTTCTAAGTTGAGTCTGTCAATCAATATCGCCTCTTTGCAAGCAATCCCCAGAAAGTAAGGGAAAAAGGAGCTGAAGTTGTTACTGCTTCTTTTTTTATTTCTAACATGGTTGCTACATCAGGAAACTGAATTATGGTTTTAGTGCTTTTTCTTCTTACTTTTTTCAAACTTCCATATAGAGATAAAGTTACCAAGATTTGCACTTACCCATTTCCTTTGGAAGTCCCTCTGGGTAACTGAGAGCTCTCCAAACATACAAAAATAATGTTACAGAATTTCTGTTTCTAGCTTCTATTTCCAATTTTCTTTTTGTAGTTTAGTGAGACGAACGGCTTGTCTATTGTCTGAGATCTTAATACTTAATTAGTGCAAATTACATTTGAATTCGGTTTTGTATCTTCTGCAGGTTCTGCTACAAAGCCATAAATTATAGTATTTGTGTGTGTGTCGTTATTTTGAGTTTATCCCTCTTAGCCTTTTTGTACATTTGTCTCCACACACAGTTGAAATCAGCAAGCATCCTGGTTGCAGATTGCTTATAATCTTCCCCTTTCATGGTGGTATTTTGGAGGGCGGCACGAACAAATTAATATCTTTCAGCTTATTTTCCATTAAAGTGGGATGAAATCCTCTGTGTGTTCCTAATGGAACGAAACTATTGAGGGATATCTGGGTGTCCTGTTACTCAGCAGAGCTCTTCTGATGTTACATAAACTTTATATACAAAGGGTTAACTATAGAACTTTTCCTTTCCTTCCACCACCAGTGGAGTTCAGTGCAGTTATCTGAAGTATAGCAAGCTGATTTAAAAGCCCAAGATGACTGGCTGCTCTAGTGAGCTTAGTCTGTTCAAAGCACAGAGCCACAAGGAAATACAGTGGCTCTTCTATATATGTTAACAGGTTGTATATATGTATATATATATATATGTATATGTATATATGTAACTGGTTTTGTTAACAGAGTTAGCATTCACAAATTCTGTGGGCTGTAATCTTCAATGAGTCTTAATATTTTTCTAATGCTAGTAAGGAATTAGGCTTGATTTATGTTGTCCACTTTAGCGTCCAATTTCTTCCTCCTCAATGAAAACTGAATTTGGCAGTTTGTGACAGTGTCAGGGATTATTCTACTTGGCGTGTGGATTTCTTCTCTGACTCGTCAGGGGAAGATGCTCATGCTGAAATCTTTAGATTTAGATCACATCATTTGATACCTCACCACTGCTCAAATGGGAATCCAAAGAGCTGGTATGGAAAAATGAAGCTGTGTACTCCTGTCCATTTATATTTTCTTGTACTGTTTCGGTGTCAATAGACATTTCCTAATAAACAAAAAGAGTATAAAAAAGTTTACACAGTTCAAGGGAATTTTTATATATGATTTTTTTCTAGAGTAATTTCATATGTGTGTTTTTTTTCTTTTTTTAAAAGCAAAACTGGAAATCATGATATAGCTTGAGAATTGAAGTAAATAGATGTTTTCTGTAGATTCTCAGAAATTGTTTTAGTTTTAGGTACAGTTGAGACCTAAGTAAAGCTCATTTCTTGTGGAAAAACAGATAAATCTTTAATATAAAAGCAGTGAAAATGGATGATGGAGAAAGTTTAAGTACAGAGAGAGTAAGTAAGAACAGAAAAGTATGAATTGCTGAAGACATAAGGGAACTGCTCTTCTATTATGTAGTGTCCATCACTACATAGATATGAGGTGTGGGACCGATAAGAAGGATGACCAAGAACTTGTGAATTTGGGGAAGGAAAATATGTCTTCAGAGCAGTATTTGTTGAGATGATCTTGATGACATCGCAGAGTCCTAACAAAAGAACAATTGGAGAAGACTTGCTGGGCTGATTATTTCCATTGGTGATATGAATGGACAGTACTTACTAGAAGACAAATGGAGTTAGTTTTTTGGTGTGAAAAGCTTAAAATGAACTGAATGGAAGTGGGAGAAAATTAGGATAGTTGAAAGCTTTGAGTTTATTTTGGTAATGCCTTCATAAGGAGTTCTCAAAGCATAAAACTCTATCAGAAAAATATGGTGCAAAAATAAAGAACTCTGAGAAAATTACAATAGTGAGCCACACATCATGTCTGGTTCATGTGTTCTGGTAGACAAAGAAATTCTTACAGAGGGTGGTAGTATGTCTGCTCTGAACCTAGTAATAAAATAATGGGAGTACAAGGACTCAGAGAAATCTGTGGGGTCAGTAGGGATTACTGTCCACTCTTCAGCAACGTTAGGGGAACTACAACACTGCTGAAAAAGCAAATAGTAAATTTTTGGTAGACTTAAGAGTTGAATGTTTCTAGAATTCAAATAATTAAAGTGAACCCTTCATTCCTTTACTGAATGTAGATGGCAGTCATAGAAAATTGTGAGGAGAGGGGTTTTTTCCCTCCTAAATGCCCCTTGGTTATCATAGAAATGGCTCCTTTCAGAGCACACTAATGATAAAAGTTACTTTTCTCAGTCCAGCAAATAGTATAGGGTCTTTCAATGTCCTCATGTCAAATGCAGCGTTGTTCAGATGGAGTGAGTGGTAGTGCCATATTCTAAATTGTTTTTTGATCCTGTGGCCTCCAGCTTAAAACTTACCACAAATGAGCTTGAATGTGGTAGGGCAGAGCCTGCCTGGAGAGCACAGTGATGCCAACGAGCATCTTTCCACACAGTTGCATCGTCTCTTTCAGCAAAGGGCTTTCGTTGCCACTTCTTTGCATATTATCAAGTTAGTTTTCAGCAAAGGTGGGTTCTTATAACAGATGTGAAATGTTAAGCCTGGGAGGCATCGGGGTTCTCGGTTGATATAACTGATGTTTGGGTTTTTGTTACTGCTCTTCTGATGCAGTTCGTTACTTGGATGTGTTTATGAAAATAAAATTGTGCTCCTACAAAAAGCAAGAACAGCTATACAATAATGGCAATACTAATGGCAAATGCTTTTATACCAATGCAACTTTATGCCTATTCTCTGGGAGGGTAGTGCTCTGCTGTATTCTTTGTGCTGCTAAGCTTTAAAATGCAGAGAAAAGTTCATGTTGAGGAATTCTTGAAAACCTGGTGTTACGCTGTAATAAAATATGACTGAATGTACCTCTTGAGTGATCCTCAGCAGCGGTATCAATTGTCAACAGTTCTCCATCTATTCAACACTCAACTTTTAGCCATAAAAGGCTTGTAAATAGTCCTGCTTCTGCAGTAGTTAAGGAATTAAACAGTTGTAGCTGTTACTCAGGAGCATCACTTCTTGTCATATCTGTGTGCATGCTGGGTTTAGTGCTTCGTAATACTGATGATTGCTTCCTCATATCTAAAATTTCTTTCTACCTGTTTTTTTTCTTTGAGATAATATTTCTAAACTAACCGCATAACTCAAATGTCAGTTTTTCATTTCCCTCAAAAAACCAGAACTAAAAGGTTTATTTGAGTATTTATTTAAAGCTCTGAACACCAGGCTTCTGAAATAAATTGAAGATTCATCAAAGCACACAAGCATGAATGGTTTTTTTTGGGGAGTAGAGATTGTGCTGACAACTTCCTGAGGCCTTTCAGAATTCAGAAGTGTACATCTAGTGGCTGAGGATTCACTTCCAAATGGAAAGAGAGTAGTGCTTTTTCCTTTCATGAGCTTTAAATGACCATATTTTTACGAACAGTCTGGATTTGCACATCATAATGGAAGGAGTAGATGGAGTTGAAATTATTCTGTAAATGTGCTGCAGTACCTGCTTATTTAGTTTGAAGCATTCCAAAACTAACTGGAACCTGGCTGTTGTTTTTCTTAAACGATTCACTTATAGTGGATTTCGTATGTTGAAAACTGATAGAAACTTAATTTATTTGAGGTAGTTGGAAATAATAATGCATTTCTTTCATGTTATTATTGTTCTTTTAGGAGATACGGATTTAGCAGACAAGCAGGGAAAACAGAACAGGTAAAAATACACTAATTTTAAATATTCATATTGTGGGAAGAATTGTATTGTTTCTGTTGGAGTGTTGGTTACTGTAAGATCTTAGAAGTTATAGCTGTTTATTCTGCTGTATTGCTTTATTATTCCCACCTTTTAAAAATGGCTAATTGGAACTAAAAATCTGTATGCAGTGAAAGACGCAATTGATTATTATCTCCTTTTTTAAAGCATTTCCTTTATCTGTGCACAAAGATCACATTTTGAAACATTTTTCACTTAGAAGAAAGGGCGATTGGGTGTTTTGTTTTGTTTTCTTTTTTAACATGAGGTAATGAACATACCCTGTCTCTTTAATTAGTATCTATTAACTAAGTGTCCCATGATGTGATCGTTAAAATATTTTTTTTTTTCCTTTTCCTCTTAAAGAACATTTCAGCTTGGTAAGAAATTTTGTAGGCATTTGTTACATAACAGGTTATTTAATGTGGTAGAGGAAGATGATACCATGCCATAAATAAATCATAAAGCATCTTGAAAAGTAGAATCCTTGCTGTGCTTCTGATGATTATGGAATCATAAAATGTCCTTGTCCGAGTATATGCAGTTTTATTATTTCAGTGCAGATATTACTTGGGCTACAAGCTTTTGCTACAGGCAGAGATAATGAAGAAATGCATTAAGCGTGTCATGGACCCAGCAATACACTGAGTACATTAAGGTTGCCCTTCTTCATTATCTTAATATTTTGCATACAAATTTAGCATTTAAATTTTATAAATGGAGATGTTTCCTAATCTAGGCATACCTCTTTTTCCCCTCAAACGAACTGCCAGGCCACAGTCATGTTTATAGAGTTCATTCTGTTTCTTCAAAAGTTTTAGTGGCTTTGGAATATTTTATGTTAGAAGGTCATCATGTTTGTTGCATGAACTGAGTCACCAGTAAGGCAGAAACAGTCAGGTCAGTGGTGCAATAGAGTGACCTAGAAATTCAGGTTGTCTGTAACTAGTTCTCATTATTTTAGTGGTGCAAATTCTTCTGACTGAACTAGGAAATTTTACACTTTTTTATGTTGTATGATTGTTATGCCGATATCAAGTTACAAAAAATTATTTATGAAAAAAAAAATAATAAATAAAATAAATATCAGCTTTCTCCTATATAGCAATCATCATATTCTGGGGTAGCCAGTTGTCTCATGAGGTTGGTAGTTCTTAGAAGGTTGTGGAATAAGGGAACTTTGTACCAGATGTGTCCTTACCAAGCCAGAGACGCTGTATTGAACAGCTGGAATACTTAGGAAGTCAGGGAGGCTGACATCTCAGTCAGCATGAATTGAAAGGTGAGGATGTTCTGGTAGCTAATGTGTATTCATAAAAACAGAACAGCTTTATTTCAATTTTCTGTGTTGTCTTCCTTAATACATTAGATTACTGGAACTAGATACATTATTTTCTTAAATTTTCTTTAAAAGGCTGAAGATAAAAAAGTTGCGCTACCTCCGGGGCTTGCAGCAGCAGGAAAAGCTGAGCCATGTGATGAAGATGACCTTCAGGCTGCTGAAGAGGTGTGCCATACGCATCGTAGGCATGGAGGTTACTGACCTGGGGAGGAGGGGGGGCCGCAGCAGTTATTGCTGCCCAGTCATTCTCTGCAAGGAGGAAAATTTCCACGCTTGGCTGAAGTGGCAGTTGCTTCCTGCAGGAGAATATGGAACCTGAAATTGATGCACTAACTCAAATGTTTGTTGATGTCTAATACTGAAAAATGCAACTTTTGTTTTTGGAATCTGAGCATGTTTAGTAGCAAATGTTTGTTGATGTCTAATACTGAAAAAAGCAACTTTTGTTTTGGAATCTGAGCATTTTTAATATGTCAGGTTTTGGTAGATAGTGGGAGCTGGATATTCTGAGTGAACCTGTACTGTGATAAGGAATTTTCCTTAATTTGATGGCTTTAGCCACCTCTTCTTTTACTTTCATAGACATACTGTCCCATTACGTGCATTAAAATATGGATGTTGTATGATACTAATTGTTTGTATACATGTGTCCCTGACACTGGGCAGAAATAAGTTAAATAATAAAATATACTTTTTAATGTGTAATTTCTTATATTTTGCCCTAGCTTCGCATTAAAACTCTGATGACTGGGATGGCTGCGATGGCAACAGAAGAGGTAAGAAGCATTTAAAACTGATACAGCATTGTTTAAATTATGGTTGGTTATAGCAATTATTCTTAAAATTGGATTAATGTTGAGTCTGAAGTCTTGGACTGATTGCATTTAAATTTTCATGAAGGGAATGCGAGGAAAGATGGTTGAATTAGGAAGAAAGTAATTTTTACAAGGCTGATGACTTAATCATTTGCCTTGAGGTGATAAACCCAATACAAATAAGTGCCTCTTTCAAATGGTTTCTACAAGAAGAATTTCAGGGGAAAGACATCGCAGTGCAGCTACCCAAGATGCATTATGACCTTACTTTATTCATCTTGTGAAGATAGCCAGAGGAATAATCGTTTTGCTGGGGAGGGTGAAGGAAAATTGTATGCGTTTCAAGGTGTTTTTCAAAGCACTGATAAATATTTATAAGCAACACCATCAGTGTAAGACACTGAAAATACTGGATGTTTATCTTGTTTTAAAATTCTTAAGCGGTTGTAGACAAATGATATAATGTAACTTTTAGGCAGTTGTAATTTTGAAAATTCCTACATTTTGATTTCTGGCTGAGAGGACTGGGAAGAAATTAAGTTGTGAAACATTGTTTCTGTTTATGCTGAAATCACAGAAGAATAGGTAGTAATTAGTCTAGTCTCAAAGTTGATTGACATGCTTTCTGCTGAAATCCACTGTAGAATTCAGTTGTACTTGAAGGTTGTTTTAATACATGCATCCAGCTGGAAAGGTGCATTCTTTCACACATCTGCTTTTGTTATCGTGTGGCTCAAAATGTGGTCTAAAAGTGAGTTTTATCACTGTGTATGCAAAGTTCAGTGTACAGAATGCAATTCAAAATAAGTTTTTGGAAATCTGGATTCAGGTTACCCCTGTTGTTTGCTAAAAGGTTGTAAGTGAGAAATTTCCATCAGCAAAGTGTTTTTTGGGGGGTGGAATGTTTCTTGGTCTTAAAAACTGGAGATTTTTAGCCAGTGTAAAGGTTTTGTACATTTTTGTTAAAATTAGAGCTTGGGGAGATTGGCATGGTGAAAGCACAGGCAGTTCCAAAACTCCAAATGTTTTCTTGACACAATTGCAGGGCAAGTTGACAGCAAGCACAGTTGGCCAGATTGTTGGACTCCAGTCAGACGAGATCAAGCAAATAGTGTCAGAATACGCTGAAAAGGTAAGTGTGTTACCTGGTTATGTTTTACCAAATCATGCTTGATAGTTTGTTAATTTAGACCTTACTTCCAATTTAATTGCCATGATTATCTTGGAATAACACTGTTTTGTATATGCTATGAGTAACGGCACAGTCAGGATCCAGGAAAGTATTTTGATGACATTTAAACATACACGAGCTTTTGGTGTGACAGCACGTATTCCTGAATTGCATTCATGAGTAGTTCGGGTTTAAGCACTTGCTTAAATGTTTTCATGAATAAAGAAGGACCTGGGTTGATATCTCTTCAAACCAGAGGCCTAAACTCTTAATGCATTTTAAAATGTTCTGTGTTAAGCACAGAAATGCAGTTCTGTGGGCCTGCCCGGAGAAAAATCTAGGCGACTTCCACTCAGATTTTCATACACTGGGATCTTACTTGCAGTGGGCTCCAATTACCAGTCATGCCCTGGATCTCTCGTTCTGAATCTAGTATCATGAAAAACAAACCTTTGTTGCTTATAGAAGTCAAGGCAATTAGCTGTGTATATTAGCTCCATTTATTGTGTTCAACTGTGATAGTTTTTACAGTAATGTGAAAAGAAAATCTGGCTCTTCAAGCAATTAATACATACAATACATCACTGCCAGATATGAGTTATAGGTCGCTCTTATTTGTCCAATAGTCTTCTCATATTTCTTCCTTTTTGTTGACACATATGAGGTATGGAGCTTTCCCATTTGGGAGATAAACCCTATAACTCAACGGAGTCTATAGCAAATTCTTGGCCTTTCTTTATTATAAAGCATTGGAAGACCAGAAGCCCAAGGGTCATATTTCAATGTTACATTTCTTCTGTTCTGAGAGAAGGCAGCAGGACCTTGACTATTATAGTAGAGCAATGATTAATACTCTGGAAAGTAAGAACTGATTCAAGTCAAATCAAAAATGTATTGCTTTTCAAATCTATTGCATGTGACAAAAAAAAATAATTTCTGTGCGTGCATGCATGGACCAGGAAAAGAGAATTAAGGATGTTATCAAACAGTTTATTGAAGCATCAGCAATGTTTGGATACAGTTCTGATAGTTTTTAACTCCTTGTAACTATACATAGTCTGAAGAACATGGCAGTGCTTATTTGTCTACCAGAGTTGTTGTAGAATCCCCAGGCCCAGTGAAGATAGCTGGCAAACAAAACTCTAGATATGATGTTGCCACGTGCCAGGTCCTTTCTTACATGATAGTATATTTGCAGAAGACAAATTTTGCATTTTGCAAATTGCATTTGCCCCTTCTTTCTGCTGCTGTGTTAACTTGTTGGCTAAACTGGAAGGAAGATTCTGGTGGTGTTCCTCACTTTCTAAGTGTCCTGGCAGAAAATTATTAACATGTCTTTTATCTGCCTATTCATCACCAGCTTTCTAAGGCCAATTATACAAAGTAGTTTTGATTTTACTGTGTTAGGATTCTTCCTCTGAGAATTTGCAAGTATCATCATATATAATGAGAAGTTTTGCTAGGAGTAGAATAGGATGAAAAGCTTGTTCCCTGATAAAATGAGAGAATAACTAAAACTGGAGAAGTGCTGTCTCAAAACCACCTCATTCAAAAATTCCTGAAGGAGAATCCTCTTCAGCAGTTTTAAATGCTGTTTGCTTACATCTTGAGAAGATGACTCAGAATATTTTTGGATTTCAGGAATCTTGCATCAGAGATTACTATGCACCCTACACAGTCAGTTGAAGTAACATAAAATAAGAATTTCAACCAGTTAGCATGGTTAGAGTTTGTTGTTCAAGGAAGATACTAAACTGGATGTTTTTATATTATTTTTTTGTTTTTGTTGTTTGAGGAAATCCTGAAAGATAAGGTGAGATGCAGTGATTTTTATCTTTGGGTTCCTGAGCCTTGGGGACAGTGTCAAGGAAAAATGATGACAAATCACATTGCAATGACTGCTAAAGATCTAAATCAAACTTGACTGAAAACAGATTTGAGCTGTTACAGGGCTGGAGATTGTTTTTGTTTTCCCAATGGACTTCAGACAGGGGAATTTGAGACAGCAGTGTTGGAGTTAGTCACAGCTCTAAACTTCTGAAGGCTGTTTGCTAGTTGGTTGATGGTTGAACATGAAGAGATAAATGAAATTATGTACTGCTACAAAGTTTGCGTTTTTGTACAGAGGCTCCTTATTTTTTTTGAGAATGTGAAGTTTTGTAGACTAATGATTGAATTCTCTTTAATTATTGGAAGGTTTATAGCACTAATGTGTGTGAGAGAATCTCATTACAAAGAATAACATCAATTGGATGTATTTCCTTCCTCCTTCCCATTTAAAAATTTTACATGTGAACAGTGGGAGGCAGACTCTTAAAATCTAGAATTAGCCATTTATTTTGGCTAGCAGGTTTTGAGCTGCCATAGATTAATGATCCTCATGCATAATTAATAGGGAATTTTAACTTGAAAAATTCTGTCATAGAAAATGATGCTACTAGCACTTCTTGTTTAACTTGTTTATTTGACTTGGCTAAATCTTTTTAGGGCAGTTGCAGGGAATGGGGAGGAACGCAAAAGTGAGTGCACACCTGGCAGTGGTGGGGATAATGTGTGTTAACAGAACAATTAAAGGATGTATCCAGGTATTTTGTCATGTGTAATTGAATTCTTCTTTTGAGATGGAGAAGCAAATTGATAATCTTGAACAGAGACTGTAGTGCTCAGATGCAGCTTTCTTAAATTAGGTTCAAAAGACAATGACTGTTTCAGTCTAGTAGGAGACCAGGTAACAACAATAGTGTCAAAAAGCAAAGTAGCTTCTATAATTCGTGCTTTTTTCTCCTATAGTGAAAGGTGCACTTCTTCTCCATGAATTGGAACCCAGTTCCTCAGTAACTTTAAAGCAGTGGTGTTGCTGCAGAGCAGATCCTTAGCCCATTTTGGCTGCTTGAGACTTAACCATAGCTTTTTCACTTGCAGACCAGAGGAGTTTTCTGCAGAAGCCTCTGTGTGATTTGGCTAAATAATAAGGGGAATAAGTGTGTATTTGTTGAATAGTTCAGTGTTACAGGTGCTGCTTAGAGGCATTTTTTCCTAACAAGTAGAAAGAAAGTATGTGAATTGTTGGGATAAGGTATCAAAATTGGTCTTTTCTTGCCGTAGATGTAAAAGTATAACAAGTCATTTAAGCTGTTCTTCATTTTCTATATTACTCCTGTTAAAGAAGAGAAAGACAGGTTTTGCCTCTTGTTTTCATTTAAAGTTATGCTGTTAATGAAGACCTGCTTACCTACCTGCCTAGTCTTGATACCAGGAGCAAATATGACTGAAGAGTATTTCATACTTCTTGTAACATTTTTGCTGATTATACATTGTAGTGGTTGTCAACGTTTCACAATTATATAAAAAGCACTTAGTATTGAAGTGTATTTGACAGACTCTGCAAATTAGCACCCGAGGTAGTTGAAAATTAACTTTTTCTAATGAAATACTGGAAAATAGATTAACTGGAAAAAGAATTGTGAGTGCATGAAGCAAATTACCAAAACGGATGCAAGTATTAAAGTGAGGGCTTCCAAAAAGTACAAATAATGTTTAGGCAAATAATCACTTAGACATCTAGATATCACTGATTTTTAATCCTTTAATTGTGAGTGCATGAAGCAAATTACCAAAAAGAATGCAAGTATTAAAATGAGGGCTTCCAAAAGGTGCAAATAATGTTTAGGCAAATAGTGATATCTAGATGTCTAAATGATTGATTTTTTTAATCCATTTGTTGAATAGTTCAGTGTTACAGGTGCTGCTTAGAGGCATTTTTTCCTAACAAGTAGAAAGAAAGTATGTGAATTGTTGGGATAAGGTATCAAAATTGGTCTTTTCTTGCTGTAGATGTAAAAGTATAACAAGTCATTTAAGCTGTTCTTCATTTTCTATATTACTCCTGTTAAAGAAGAGAAAGACAGGTTTTGCCTCTTGTTTTCATTTAAAGTTATGCTGTTAATGAAGACCTGCTTACCTACCTGCCTAGTCTTGATACCAGGAGCAAATATGACTGAAGAGTATTTCATACTTCTTGTAACATTTTTGCTGATTATACATTGTAGTGGTTGTCAACGTTTCACAATTATATAAAAAGCACTTAGTATTGAAGTGTATTTGACAGACTCTGCAAATTAGCACCCGAGGTAGTTGAAAATTAACTTTTTCTAATGAAATACTGGAAAATAGATTAACTGGAAAAAGAATTGTGAGTGCATGAAGCAAATTACCAAAACGGATGCAAGTATTAAAGTGAGGGCTTCCAAAAAGTACAAATAATGTTTAGGCAAATAATCACTTAGACATCTAGATATCACTGATTTTTAATCCTTTTTTTTTTGTCTATTGCAAATATACAATTTCTATTCTAAATGTTACTCCTGATAAAGAATGTTTCTGGCAGCTTTCCTTTCACAATTTGGATAGAACAGGAGACTGGATCCAGATTGTTGTCTTCATTATGTATTTATGAGACACTTTCTTGGCAATGCATGCTGGATCCAGTGGTTTGCAGAGACTGGTGTCCACAGCGCGCGCGCGCGCACACGCAAAGAAGAGCTTTGAATGGTAAATGATCTACCACACTGACTATGTCATTGTCATTCAGCATAAAGATGCATCAAAGCCACTATTTGAGAATCTAAATATACAGTTGTTCAAGGCCTTTGAAAGTTCTGGATCTACTTACTGGGGTATGGACCATGTCTGATCCAACAAGTTCAGTAAATGCCACTGCTTAAGGTGGTTTTTAGCATGGTTCTATTTTTTACATTTAAGAACTTTACTAGGTATGACTGTCATGCTGCTGCAAAAAATTACTTATTTTTTCTAGTATACTGTAGTAGTTTCCACCTGTCCCAGGGCATCTAACTTCATTTCTCACTTACTTTACCTGTTAATTTTGGGATGTAATTCAGTTGTTCAGCCACTTCCTTTTCTTGATGCGAGATAATTCAGTAAATCATTCTTTCTGTTGGATAGCAGGACACAGTTCTTGCTAAGGAATATCAGAGTTGTGTCCCGCTTTGGCATTTCCTGAGCTACTGAAGAAGCAAAAAGTAATGGCAGGTTGTTGTTTCTGTTTATTTTAGCAATCTGAGCTTTCTGCTGAGGAGCGACCAGAAAGGCTTGGAGCTGCCCAACAACACAGAAGGAAGGTGGCATCTCTGAATAAGCAGATTTTGCAAAAAACCAAACTTCTGGAAGAGGTAAGTATTGCGTGTGTAATAAAGAAGAAAGCATTGATGAATGCGGTTGATCACAAAGTTTTTGCCATCCAGAAAAGATTTGAAGCTATCTTCTGTACCAGCAATTTGTCATGCTGAACATTCATTTCAGCATCTCTGGATGTCTTGCTTGCACATTTATTACTAAGACAATGTGTCTGGTTTTATATTAAAAATTGTATAGCTCTGTCTGTGAGGAGGGGGCTAGCTAATCAAAGCGTGTTTTCCTTTTTTTGCATACCTCTCTTGGAGAAAAAAAGAGGGAGGATCTCCATTTGACCTGGTGGCTGTAGTGTTGAATGGGCTCTCTTCACAGGTTCAAGAAACAGTTTAGGAAGTTACTCTAAAATATGCTACAAATTACTTTTTATCCTGTCCTTTTGTATGAGCCACTTTGTCTCACTAAGGTGGGGCTTTTTGCTTGTTTGTTGGAGGTGTTTTAGGGGGGAAAGACTCTTGCATTTGTGACTGATGTTCTGCTCTTATCTATAAGAGCAAGAACTACCACTCTTGTATTTCAAACAGCTTATGTTGTTGCTATTTAAATTCAGAAAAGCATAAGTGGAAAAGCTATGCCATTAATGAGATGCTGCTTTTAATTATGCATACGGCTGCAATCAGCACCATGCCAACTTTAGCTTGCAGAATCTGATGAAAACATATTGCATCAGAGTCAGTAATGGGAAGAGCTTGCCAAAAGACAAATAGTACTTGAGGAAGAACTCTTGCTGATGATTTCTGTGGTTGATACTCTGTCAAGTACAGCACCGCTCCAGCAGCCTTCATCTGATTTTTGTTTTGTTTTGCTCTGCTCTCATCAGTAAAGTCTTAACCCCTTATATCTTAAACTGATGCATTTCTGTTTCTGTGTTCTCCTCTGGCGTGCCTGTCTGTTAAAAATAAGATTTTTTTTCATAGTTGATAACACTCTACTTGTTATTTGCTCTGTGAGTTGAAAGTGAGCAATGTCTGTCACAATTCCTCTTTATTCTAGGGTGAAATATTAGAAGGTATTATAATTATGATATACTGAAATTAATGATACTTTTTTTCCTTGAGTTTGTATTCTTTTAACCATTTGGTAATACGAATTTTCCATATTTGTTTATGTCAAACATAACTTTGGTGCCCTGTCAAAATGATGACTGTTAGTTAAAAAATATTGTCAATACCTAGCATTTAAACGGACGCTGAAGTGTCAGGCTTTCAAAATCATCATATGAGCTTACAGACAGTTAAATCCTGCCTGAATTCCCATGTTGGCTTGAGGTTTTTTGCTGAAGTAGAAACATAAATTACAGAATGAGATCTTTGGAATTTCAAAAGTGGGGGAAAGGAAGAGGATTTTCACTGTATCCAAAGTCAGTGCGGTATGATTCTATCACACTTTAATTCTTCCTTCAAACCACAAAGGCTGTAGGACAAATATGAAGGGAGATAGAGATGTTCTACGTGTGTTTTGTGTAGCACGGAAACAGATGCAGGCCCTCTTAGCATCCCCTCTGAGCAAGCAGGTTGCAAACCTGTTCCAGATAAGAAGTTTTGTTTTCATGACTGGCAGCAGTTTAGCACTGCTTGATGGTACAAGAGGGGACGTTTGCTCAGGTTTAAGGATTTTAATGCAGTTCTACAGATCTTGAACAAACGCTCGCATCTATTTGCAGTTTTTCTGCAGGCAGTATGTAGACATATGAGGGGCACACTCAGTTTGAATGTATAGATGCTATAATGCTACACCACAGCCCTTGCAAGGTGAGAACAGTTCTGGGAGGCAGTCAGCTCAAACTTAATTTGGGAGAGGACAGCTTAGGTACAACTGTGTACTAAGGATGGCTTTGGGAAACTGCCACAGCTAGCCAGGTTTCAAAAATTTAAAATCTTCGATATTGCACAAGCTTCTCTGGCCATGCTGTTTCCTTGATCTTTGGTGCCTAACTGAGCTGTGAGACAGTTGGGGGATGCTTTTGCAGATATTCTGTGTTGTTCCATTACGGTCTGGGACGCAGACAGGATCAGGCAATGTCTGTGTGTGCTCTCAATGACTGACACACTCAAAAGCATTTATGTTCTGGAGCAGATGGTGCTTGTATTCCACAGAATTGTAGCATGGTGAGACTGCTGAATTAGTAATACAGAATATGCCTGTAACTTGATATATATTAAATGTATTACATTTTCATGCCTGGTCCAAGTAATTTCCTTTACTAGTTTCCCTGGCATATGAATGAATTAATGTATTTGCTTGTTATCCACATACTGCTGAGAAGAGGAAAGCAGTTTGGGGTGGGGAGGAGACGTAATTGCAAACAACACAAAATTGAGAAAGTCCTTACTTCATTACAGATTTGCTTTTAACTGCCAAACAAACTTCATAATCCACAGGAGAAAAGTATTTTCTAAATCTGGTGTCATGTTGTTTGCCTTTTTAACAGTTGAGGGCCCTTTAATTCTGTGTTGTTTATTTGCAGTAAGTAACAGTCTCAGTGCTTTGTTTTTATGTGAAAAATGAGTGCTGACAGCTATAAGCTAAATATAATCCTTTTAACACTTTAGTAAAGTAAAAATTTCCTGGCTGAATTTTTTTTTGCCACTTGCCAAAGAGAGATTTTGAAGGGTGAGTTAGAAGTGACAGTGAAATCCCTGACAGTCAAGACCCCCCTTCTAAAAAACATTTGTGAAGTTCTGGCTTCGATACTGCAGTAAGTTTTAGCTAAAATTCTCATAGTACAAACAGTTCTTCAATATTTATGTCAATTTTCATGAAATGTATATTACAGTCTTAAATTATAAATTTTTTTCAACTGTTTTTTCAGTCTATATGGTGAAATATTGGTAAAAAATATTTTTCTTGAATAGCTCTAACTTATTTGGAGAAGTACAAAATGGAACTCTCTTCTTAACCTGGTGTGAAAGTAGGTGGGTATAACCAGGGGAAATAACCGAGCAATTTAGCAGAGATTCTGTCCAATAAATTGCAATTCTGTTGGCATCCATTTTGTAAAAGCTGCTGTTTAGATGTATTAGATTCCAGAACAGAGGGTCAGGTGGAAATGTTTGCTGGTATTAGTTAAATATTCAATCGGAATTCTTGCAAGCAAATGCTTTCAGAATGGATGACAAGAAAAGAAAGTGTTTGTGATGCTTGGCCTATTGTTTAGTAGACAACCATTATTAACAGCTCAAATATTGTTCTCCAATACAGATGTAATTAGTGTGAATATACAATCAAACTCCTGTCTTTCTCTTTCCATAATAGTTGCAAGCTAAATGTGCTGATCTGCAGGCAAAATGTACCGAAGCAAAAAAGACGTTAAGTGAGGTAATTTTTCTTTGGTTTTCTGTGCACTGATTCTAACAGTCATTTTTCAGTAGTTTGGGGTATTAAATGGTGAAGCTGTTTGACAACTTACACCATTGATCCCATGGTATGGGAAGGCTGAGTACCAGGAATCATTTTATGTGTGGAACTTATTTGAATTCATTATCAATTGCAACCCTTAGGTTAAGAGTTATGGTGAAAAGCTGGACAAGGAATTGGCAGCCTTAGAAACAATAGAATCCCAAGCAGATTCTAGGTAAGTTTCTTCCTTTATGACCTTTGACATTCTGAAAAATAATGGTTTTAAAATTAATTCTTCAATGTTTCTTTTTTTTCAATCTAAACAATTAACTAGAATTTAAAAATTAAACAATACTCCTGCTTGCTTTCCAAAGACAGGAAAATATTGCCATACTATTCAATCAGAACGAGAAGTGTCAATCTGTAGTTAAAAATAATTGTAGGTGTTTCAAGCAGAAGAACTGTAGACACATTTGACAAGTAGATGAGGCCTTTCTGATTTTATTTTCTTTGTATTTGAAGCCTTCATCTCACATAAATTAATAGGAGGCTCTCTCAAAACTTGCATAATAATGAGGTCAGAACCTAGCAAAACGATCAAAATACTTAGTATAATACTGTATTTTTATTTTGACCTTGCTATATCAGTGGTGATGTTTGGTGGTTTTTTTAATTTACACATATTTTATTGGAAACTTATTTAAAACTAGGCTTGTTCTACTGTCTTTTAGTTCTCCATCTGTTAAAATTTGAAACTAAAAATCTAATGTAGTTTACTGGATCTTCAAATTTAGCGTATTACAGAGTCTGCGAGCACTGGTGGCCATGAATGAAAACCTAAAAAGCCAGGAGCAAGAGTTCAAAGCACATTGTAGGGTAAGTTTTAGTTTCTTGTATAAGAATTTATTTAAAACTTGGCAAATAAGCATTATTCTTGTTCCTGATTTGTCATCGTGTTGTGTGTCCCTGTCCCACTCCTTTGCCTCTCCCCAATTTACTGGTATTTCCAGGTTTATATTTAACATTGCCACCAGCTTGGTTTGTGGCAGAATTATGGACGGTTGCCCAGTTCTGCAGTGGATCTTGTCTGCAACAGGCTGAGGACCAAGAAGGTTGGCAGTGGATTAACCAGAAGGACTTGCCCCCTGCCCTATGGCGGGGAGGTGTAAGGAGGGTTTCCAAGGCATCTAAATTAGTGTGGCCATCAGTGTTCTGCTGTTGCTGGGACTCTTCAATTAAGGATAATTGCTAGACATAGAATGCCAGATCAGCCTCGTACTGGTCACTGTTGTGGCTCTTCTTGTTCCCATTGCCATACTACTGAAAGCAAACATAAAATTTTTGAGGTGTTTTTGGCTGAGAGCAAGACTACAGGCACCACTTAAATGCAAGTTTGCGATTGGGCTGTACAAGATCCCCACCTGTGCTGTTCACAGCCTGAAATGGATTGTCTCTTCTTGGATAACGTGGCCGGCAGTGACCTGAGGAGAGGTACAGTGCCAAAGAATCATAGAATGGTTTGGGTTGGAAGGGACCATAAAGATCATCGAGTTCCAACCCCCCTGCCACGGGCAGGGACACCTCCCAGTAGAGCAGGTTGCTCAAAGCCCCATCCAGCCTGGCCTTGAAAACCGCCAGGGATGCAGCATGTTCCAGTGTCTCACCACCCTCACACTAAAGAATGTCTTCCTTATATCTAGTCTAAATTTCCCCCTTTCAATTTAGAACAGTTACCCCTCATCCCGTTGCTACACTCCCTGACAAAGAGTCCCTCCCCAGGAGGAAAGAGCTTCATGAAGGCTCCGGGCTTTGGAGCAGCAACCCACCAAAAGAGACAAGACTGAAATGAAACTATTGCAGTTTTCAGAGCATGTTTCAGTTTTACTACTTAATTACTGTGTTTTCCCGTCCTGTTTACCACTGTGTTTATGGACTGCCTAAAAATATGATCAGAATGAAAAGAAGTAAAAAGAAAATAGTGCCCTGAGGCATAGACTGAGCATAGGAACCTCATTTTCCCATATGTACTCCTTTGGAAAGCTCTAAAGGATTCTAATAGAAACTGCCTTGCAAGTAACTGTAAGTTTGTTTATTTCTAGAAATGCTGTATGTTGCAGTCCTGAGTCATGCTGCTGCTATTGTAATATTCCTTTTCTGTCCATGTCGCTGATTAGTTGTCTTAACTAGATCTAGTATATTTGCAAGTAAGAAATAGATCTGGTCCTGTGTTTGACAAAAGCAGACATCTCAATGTAATGAGTAACAACGGATGCCTTATCCTTAGGCAGGGAATGCTGTTTAATCTTACAAATTTAAATGCAAAGCATGTGGTCAGCTCCACAATGTTGTTGCTTATAAGTTGTTAAGCTTCTTGCCCTCCCATTGTTAAGAGGACGGGTCTCAATTAAAACCAACATAAACTTTTTTTGTTTTAAAGGAAGAAATGGAGAGACTTCAACAAGATATTGAGAATTTGAAAGCTGAGACCATGGAAGATGGGGAGGAACAGGTAACTAGCAAATGTCTACGTGTTTATTTTCAGTTTGTTTTAAAATGTTGCTTTAGGTCCTTCTGACTTTTGGCACATTCTCATAAGCATTAACGTATCTGTTGCCATCTCTGGAAAATTTTATTCTTCACCGCCGGTAAAGCCACAATTCAGGCTAATAAACACAGAAATACAGTAAACTGAAAATAGCCCTAGTATTCTTCATTATTCTTGCAGAACTCATGAGGCTAACTCATAGATGCTTTGGTGCCTTTTAACTTCTTTCTTTGTAGTACCAGAACAGAATCTGTGGGTGTTGTGTTAAGAGCAGTACGTACCTCTCACGAAAACAGGTCCTCCTCGTAAAGCACATTTGTTTTGGTGTTTGTTTTTCTTAAAAGTGGATTTATTTGAAGAATGAAAGCATAAGTTTTCAGTGGCTCGGTACATTGCATGCCGCGAGCAGCTGTCAGAAGTTAGGCTTTAACACAAGTGCATCCAGAGTGATGGCAATGAATAATGAATGAACAAAAAAGGAGAAGCTTGAATTACTTGTATTTTCAGTGGGTAAATGTTTGATGCATTTATGCCTCTGAAATGAGGTAGATTACAGGTTCCATGACGCTGCTGTCCTTCTGAACACAGCGTGGAAAAAATTAAAAGGTAAACCTAAATTTCAATGAGAAAAAAATTATCTTAAAGTCTACAATCCAGGAAATCTAGAATACATTTCAGAGTTCTTTCCTGGGCCATGTTTACCCTTAACCCCACTGCTCAATCAAAGTATTCAGACAAGGAGTACGGACAATCTTCCAATGCATATTTTCATTTAACATGTGACTCTTGTAAAGCAGTGGAAAAACTATTGACAAATCCTAAAAACTAAAATATCAAAAGCTAAAAAGCTGGCAAATTGCACTTGTTTACAGTAAAAGATGTCAGTTTTTTAATGCAGATTATGAATTATATTTTTTTCCAAGTAAACCAGCAAATGGTGGTGGTTTTGTGGAAGCCATTACATGGGAGATGGGCAAATGCAGAAATTGAACCCAGTCTGCATGTTTTTGAACCTGCAGCTCTCATATGCTACTGTAATACACAATTGTTTTGGGTTCTCAAATTCTAGGAGCCGAATAAGATTATAGAACAGCAATACAAAACCGAGAAAGATAAACTTCAAAAGATCCGTTTGTTATTGGTGAGTAAGTCTTTGTAAATTTTCTTGTACAAAATTGATATTTTTCTTATCTTGTTACTACTAATACTTCTTTTTGTTCTAATTTTAAAAAGTTTTTCTGTCACAAATCAATTACAAAAAACATTGAGCCTCAGCCAACGCTTTTTTTTGTTTTTTAAATTAATTATTTAGTAACAAAATATTGCTGGGGGGGGCTTCATCAATTTTTAAGAAAAGAACAAGAAGAGGCTTTGTTTTCTCCCCTCCTAACTTTCTATTCAGGCACGAAGAAACAGAGAAATAGCCATTTTACAACGCAAGATTGATGAAGTACCCAGCCGAGCTGAGCTAACACAGTATCAGAAGAGATTTATTGAACTTTACAGTCAGGGTATGTATATCAAGCAGGAACATCCTGCTGAAGGCTAAAGCCCTGAAGGGAGGGCAATTGCATTTTAAGCATCTAACATGTAACAACAGCACTTGTTAATTTGGTGGTATTTTAAGGGACTTTTGGTATTCACGTTATATACCTGATTTTCAAGCCTTTATAAGCTGCCTGTAAGAATTTTCCTGAGGGTGAAACAGTGCACAAGATCTCTGGAGTAAATTTTGTCTGCAACACGTTCAGTCATTTTGGTTAATAACCAGTGTGTCTAGAAAGTCCTGAACTCACCTTTTCCAAATTAGGTTGCTGTAAATTTGAGTCATGTTTAATTAATTGCTATTAATGTTAGGTTGCTTTCATTTTTTTCATTGACCTGAGAAACTGGTTCTGAACCAAACTACGTGAAGAACCACAAAGTAAAGGCAATTTCTTGAAGGGAGATTTTTTTTTTTTTTTCATTTTTATGATTTATAAATATCCTGCAATGTCTTGGTAGGCTCAGAGTACAAATTGTCTTTACCTTTATTTTATGATAAGAAGTTATAAAATGGGGAAACATGCTCAGTTGACTTTTTGGATAGGTATGTGTTTACTGTGTGTAGATGGTACAGAACATGGAAACTGAATAAAATTATAAACTTGTTCCATAAAACGGGTAACAGACCAGTATACATACTTGTGTATACTTGACATAGGTTCTATCTAGAAGAACTAGCTAATCTTTTAAAGATATTCAGCATTTATTAAATATATGCATGAACCAAGCTCTTGAAGGTTGAGTAGTTGTAAAATTATCTAACTTTGATCCAAATCCCTTGCATGTCTAAATGAATCCAGACAAATTATCTGTGGTCAGAGCATCTACCTGCTCGGGAGATGGAGGTTTCATTTGTATTTGAAATACGGAAAGATTAAGGTCAAAAAGACTTGTGCAGCTTTGTGTGTAGATTTAAGATGCTTTGAATTTTATGGGACTTTGTTTTCTATAGTACAAAGTATGTGTAGCGATTTAGGTTAACACTTCTCAGTCGTGGCTGGGAACCTGTATTGTACAGCCTAAGCTTTTGGAAAATTGAGCTGAAAATCTCTAGCAAGTCTTTCTGTGAACTGTGGTATTTTTAGAGGCTTTTCGTTTAGCCAGATACAGGTGATCTTCAGAGTTGCCAAAACCTGCTTTTTTTCAACTTTGATCAAGGGGGTGTTGGACAAGACAGTCTTCAGTGACGTGTCCAACCTCAGTGATTCTGTCCTTCTGTACTAGAATGCTCTTAAGCTCCAATATTCCCTGCTTTGTTTTTAACCTAATAGAACCTCTTCCCTTGAAAACATTAAGCTGTGGTTTCAAGAGAATCAATGAGCCAGTTGGCTCCTTCTTTCTCTTCTTTGTTTGCCTCTTACCTCACATGGGCTCTGGTGTGTGCCCATAAGGCTCCGTGAGCTGGTACAACTTTCTAACCCAATGGAAATCCTGAAGTTTTCTTCTGGCTTGGTGTGTGGAATCCACTCGTAAAAGATCTATGGCTACCGGAGCTGCTACAAGACAGGGAAGAGCTGCACAAAAGAAATGGTTTGGGAAAGGCCTCTTCCATTTGGCAGCAGCAAGTCCTGCAAAAAGCAGACTAATTAAGAGAGGACACCTGAAGTAAGCTTGTTGATGATCCTTTGTTTCCAAGTGATTTCCGCACTTAGTAAATCTTTGTGGAACATGCTGAATAGCCCTTACTAATTTGTCAACCTGTCCCAAGCTTTCCCGAATTCTTTGGTGCTTTCAGGCTCCCAGTATTCAGTGTGCTCCTGGAGGCCACAGCCTGTGCAGAACGTGTGTCACAGTCACACTGTGGCGGTGAGAAAGCTCCTTGGTCCCAAACATCTCAGTGCTGCAGAAGGAGATGCTTTTGGATTTCTGTCACCAAAATGTTCAACTTTGGGCTGTGGGTTGCTCTTGGGCTTCAGCTGGAGGACAGAATTGTACAAATCAAAAGTTGGACTTTCTTGAAAAATGTGTATATTTAATGACGTCATGATGTGGGGATGGGGTCATGCTGTCTGTTCCATTCAAAAGTTTAGTCCAGTATATCAGTTCACTAAAGGCTTTATTTTAAGATGTTAACTTGTTAGCCTTTTGAGTTTAATATAACAAGCATGATTTCACTCAGGTTTATCTTTTTTACCCTGTATGTTTTTATGCTGGTTCAGGTTCATATTAATTATAATATTTTTTGCTAACTGTCCTCTGTTGAACTCTTTCTTTGAAAATACCTTAGATTTCCTTAGCTGAAGAACTAAAGAATAGATGAGCACGTAGTAGATTTGAGTATCAGTCATCTTCTTGTAGGCCCGAAGGGAATGTGTGTCATTAAATTGATTTAAATACTGAGCTGGGGTGTTCTCATAAAATCTGATAGCTGCAAACCTGGCTGGAGATTCACATACAGAGGGAATATTCTTCCAGAATGTATTAAGGAGTGTGTTCTATTATTGATAGTGGAAAGTATGTTATATAAAAGCTATGAAGTATTTTTACAGATTCCATTTCACCTCATGCTTTTTTATTATTCTACCCTTTTTTTTGTTTGCAGTCTCAGCAACTCACAAAGAAACGAAGCAGTTCTTTACTCTTTATAATACACTGGATGATAAGAAAGTATATTTGGAAAAGGAGGTAAGAAAATGTTATTACTGCTTCCTAAATAGTCAGTCTGTGGAAAGGTGATAAAGACTTTTTACTTGGCTTTCACAATATTCAGTCATGTCAGAGCGGAGTTAACAGTCTTTGTAAGTGAAAATGAAACAACTGATTTATAATAATATTTTTAATGTTGAGGGGGAAATGGTCTGTGTTGTAAAATAACTGCTGTAAGTACAGCATGTTTAAACTATTCACTGTGTTCACAAAAAATGAGTAACGTTTGATGAGCAAATATCTCTGTCTTGGTATCACAGGACCAAATTGTCCTCTTTTTGGTCAACATCGTTTATTATGCAGCAATGCTGCAACCAGTAACTTTGGACAGCAAATTCCAGCTGCTGTCACTACCATCAGAGTTCGCTCACAGGGTCGGAGGCTGCCTACACTGTGGTCATTGGGGATTTTACTGGACCAGGATCAGAAAAGCAGTTTTCATGGAAGTGAAAACTACTTTCAGAAAAGTAGTTTTCATGGCTTTTTTTCCCCTCCTCTCTCCCTACTGTGTAGAGGTTGGGTCTTTCTTGGGGATGACTTAATCGAGTGATTTCAATTTCCTTTTTTTGCGGAGATAATCATGTGACTTCAGTAAAGCTGGAAAAATAGGAGCAGTCAAGACTTGATAAAATTATGGCATTACTTTAAAAAGTCTATAATGTTTTGATACTTCGGGCTTCTCTCTTTATTCTAATATAATAAGGACAGAAAGCTGGAAAGCTCAACAATGTTGTGCTTCCGTGCAGACCTTACTCAGAGAGATACTCAGGGATCTAGTATCTTTTTCCTTTATTAAACATACAGGACTGGGCTTCTGTATAGATTTTTTGGAGGCCAGGATGATGGAAAAGCCTCCCACCCTGAATATCATTTCCATGCTAAACTATAATTTTCCTCAGTTTCTCCTGATACAAATTCTATAAGGCACGATGTTTCAGGATAGATCTGGCCCTTTCTGTTGCAGAAAGTGTTTACAGCTCTATCAATATTGTCAGAATCCCAGCTGCATGGCAATAAATTTAAAAAATATCTTCTGTGACTAGGTGATTTAACAACACTTGTAAATAGTATATGCAAAAACATCTCAAGTTCTGTGCTGAATTGAGCCTTATGGCTCTTCTATTGATGTGTAGGTATATATATTTTGAGGTAGGTCAGTACAAAGCAGGATCTTACCAGTGTTTAATCTGTGGTGATGATTTTCACATGCTGTGGAAATACCTAGCCTTATGGCTCTTCTATTGATGTGTAGGTGTATATATTTTGAGGTAGGCCAGTACAAAGCAGGACCTTACCAGTGTTTAAAATCTGTGGGGATGATTTTCACGTGCTGTGTAAATACCGGATTTCTGGCAGAGGTTTCAGTTTAGCATGAGAGAATGCTCTTTCTAAAAATTACTCTAACTGATGATCCCTAAGATCCTCAAATTATCTTGGAATTAGTGGTGTAGCCTACCTTTTTGTTCCCTGAAAATACCAGTAAGAATTTTTCCCTAAAAGTTTTTCAAACATCGACTTCTTACACACCGCCAGCGATGATACCATGGAATGTCAGTTACATCCTGAATATTCAGGAGCCCCAGCTGTAGAACTTGCATCCCTACGTGAGAGCGGGTGGTCTAACAGCTGCCAGCTTTACCTGAGCCTGTAAGAAGACTATCACATGCTTTGTATGTCTGTGGTCTTTCATTGTTTTTATTTTCTTATTCCAAATGGTGAAATGTATTCATAATATATAATACAACAGGTTGCAGATAACAATATACAGACTTAAAATACTATGTTAAATAGCAGCTGTAGAATTCTTATTACTTTTTCTCTCCCTAGGTAAGAGTTTAATACAGATCTGTTTTGGTTTTTTTATTTTGAGGGTAAGCCTGCAAATTTAAAAAGCATACAGAGATTGCTTTGGAAATAGGCACATAAAAACCAGCTGACAGAATACAGAGCAGATGTATTTCATTGTTGTATGAATTGGGAGTACTCTTGCCAGTAGAATTTGGTGCCTTTCGGGGGGTTTTGGTTGTTTGGGTTTTTTTCAGTTCCAAGCTTCACTTACGTGGATATAATTTCAAAGCAAATAAATTGATCAAGGGTTTCTTTTAGCTTGATGTCAATCACAAGAGAGAGAGGTCTGAATGTCTTCTGATGTGGCCTTAACTTTGTCAAATGTATAATATAGTTGGGGTTTCCTTGTGTTGTTTTTAATATTAGAACCAAGGCTTCAGCGAGGAAATATTATCTATTAATGTACCAAAGATGCCTTTGACATCTCTGCCTCACAGATTTCTAGAATATGCTCTGAATGCTCTGTACTCATGATGGGACCCCCCCCCCCCCCTTTTTTTTTCTCCCCCAAACCCCAAACTTTTCATAAAATATATTGAGCATAAGGCTTGAAAATAACAATAGCAGGAATTGGTATGCAGTGGAATTTTGTCTATAAAGGTTATAGCTCTAACATGAAAAGGTGCTGTGAATATAGTTGATATTTTAATCACATTTAAACTCATTTTTTCATAAAGGTTTTTTATTTTGGGGGTTTGTACATTGATGTTACTGTCTGTAATGTAATACATGAGCATCACTCTCACTATGCAATACCTGCTTTTCATGACTTGAATGTTTTGCAGTATAAACTGTACTTAGGTTCTTAAACACATGCTTATTGGAAATATCTTGAGGCAAAGATATGGACTTGGCAAATACTGATGAGTCATGCAATAATTTCTTTCCTCTAAGTAACACGAATTCTTAAGCAACTTGGCTGCTTTGGAGTCTGTTCAGAATTTGTTTGAATTTTTCTAAGGAAGGTCAGGAACAGCTGCAGATTCTGCCCCGTGTGTGCTTATCGCTGCCTTGATCAGATGGGAGATTTTAAATTCAGGAGAGATGAGTTTAGCTTTCCACAGCAATGGAGCAAGTGATATTCAAATATTCATCAAAAGGAGAAACTGCTTGGAAGGTTTAACCACAGGAGGCTTGCAAGAAAGATTCAGAGAGGAGAGAGAATCACATTAATTGCTATTTGATGAATTTTAGTGCTCTCAGCAAGGAAAAAATCAAAGATAGTTCGATAGAAAATATTCAATATATAGTTTAATTAGTTGGGGGAGCAACAAGATATTTCTATGACATTGTTATAAATATCTATTTCTGTCAATTCAGTGCAATGCTAGTGTCTCATAATAGAAGTCATGCATGTGAAATGCCATTCCGTACTTTTTAGAAGTTCATCCTTTAACAGCCTGTAAAATACATATAAGCAAAGGGAGTAATGATGCTTGGCTGTTTGGAAACCTGTAAAACTCATCTGTGCAATGAGACCAGTGCAGAAATGCACCTGCTGGCCCTGCGCTGCTCGATGAGTCCACGCAGTATTGTGTGTCTCAGAAGCAAAAGTAGGGGGTCTTTTGTTGTTTTGTGGGGTTTTTTCTCCCCCCTCTATGCCACGCTTTGCACAGGCAGGTGAGCCAGGCTGCAGTGTCTTGGCAGAGCTGTGCTGCTGATAGCATCAAAGCTGCCATCTTCAGTACTGTTAACGCAGTCTGGGTTTGCTTTGTTTGGGCACTGGGGAGTTATTGCTTGGTTCTTTTGGTTTTGTTTGGTGGGGTTTTTTTTAAGGATATTTCTCCATTTGCTATCCTGGCTGGCTTGGAAGCATAGTCTGGGATATGCCTCAGTGAAACTGTTCTGCTTTATCACTACAAGACTAATTATGCCACCCTAACGTAGCCACAACATATGGTTGTGCACCATCACTGTTGGACACTGGATGAGAAACCTGTAAGTTACTTGTGTGTTGGGTTTCAACAACCGTTGAGCAGATGTATATGCCCTTTTACGTCATCACTTTGGTTTGGAAAGTTGTCACACTGGAAAATTTTCAGTGGTATAATTGGGCATCAGTAAATTTAAAAATCACAACTGTGGTCCAAGACTTGCTTCTGCTTTCTGTGGCTCCTCCCCTGGGATAGGTTTTACTAGTACAGAGGGATTGTGATTTCTCTTCCAAAGGAAAGTTCGTGGTGAGTTTCACAGAGCTGATGGCTTGTCAGGGCAACATCTATATAGTCAATTTTTTTTTAACTTAAATTTCAATTTATTGTCTGGGAAAATTCATACCAGAAAGGAAAAACATATAACAACTTCTTTTTTTCTTTTTCCCCTCCTGTTTCACAGGTTAATTTACTGAATTCTATTCATGACAACTTTCATCAGTAAGTAGTGGTCATTCTTCTCTTGATAGTCGCAGTGAGTAGTGTGGCTGGTTGGAAAAATGGGAGTGGGCCTGAGTTATAGAATAAAAAAGTTGTTGCAATTTTTTATTAATGTAAACTATTCTAGAAATTAGTTTGTTAATTCTGTTTAAGCCAATGTTTGGGGAATCAAAGACTTGGAATTACCTAACTTTTATAGCAAACATGTGTTTTTAATATCTGGCTCTTCAGTTGCAGTTGTGGTCAGAAAACAGTCATAATTTTTCTGGCAGTAATTTAAATATTTTTCTCCATTTTGTGAAGTTGTAGTTATTACATTATGTACAAAACATTATAGACATTCGGACGTATTTCAGACATGTTTATTATAGACTAACTCTGTATTTAAAGGTTTTGATGAAGTGTGAAGTCTTTAGATACAATTATGGTTCCTTTAGAAGTTCAAGGTCAAATATCAGTCTATGATGCAGCCAGCATTTTTTTTCTGTGTTTTTTTGACTTTGCAAAAAACCAGAAGTTCAGTATGAATTTTTGTCACAACAGTACAATTCAGTAGAGTCCTGGGGGAGGAGATGACCATTTAATAGTTTTAAGCAATTCTTCCTATTACTTTTTTTTTTTTATTATTGTAATTCTGTTGTGAAATTACAAGCTCCTTTTTTTGCCCACAGTAATTCATTATCTCATTACTCTGCTATATTCAGGTCCTTCTGTGTTTGGTGACAGCTGGGTTTTGGATTGTTTGGTTTTTTTGTTGGGAGTGTGTATGAGAGGGGTGTTGTATTTTCTTTGTTTTGTTTTTCTTAATCTGTTTAAGATCCGTTACAAGTCTGAAACTGCTTCTGGGCTTTGCTTATTAGGGCATGAAATTACTTTTTAGAATATTTACTGATCTACTAGTCCTCTACTCACCTTCTTAATATTCACAACAGCTGCTTTTCTTAAAAGTTTGTGCTTTTGGTTAGTTAATAGCAATTTATTTCTGTGCAACACATGAGAGAAAGGAACAGACTTGAGCCAACAGGGAGAAAGCTTGTGATGAGCTCTGTAGTCTCTGTTCCCATCTCTTTAATAGTTTATACCAGCTGAAGAGCTGCACTGTTACCTGGAATCAGTGATTAAAAAGATGAATTTTTACATAGAACACTAAACAATGTGAATTCTGTAGATGAGACATTTTGTCCCACACTGTCCCTGTCGGTCGTTTTCTTTTTTTTTCTTTCCAGAGCAATGGCATCTTCTGGTTCTCGAGAGCAGTTTTTACGGCAGATGGAGCAGATTGTAGAAGGCATCAAACAGAATCGGATGAAGGTCTGAGACTCTTCTTGCTTTCTTTGCTAGAACCTGGGAATTATTTGAGAAAAGCCTCTTGGATAATAACTATGCAGGGAGAAATCCATTATGTGAGGTGCAAATTAAGCAAGCAACTACAAGTATTATTTATTTTCACATCCATAAGAAACTTCTTACCACTGAAATGTTAATGAATAGAGTAGAGCAGAGGTATTACAACACTCCTCTCTGGGCAGGACACTCATACCCCTTCACTTGGTTAACTTGGCCTCAGGGGACTTGTGTTAAATGGTCTTGGGGCAACACAAGCATGATGTCCAACAGTGGCTCCGAGTAAAGCTGTCCACAGGCATATTTGCATATGGTGGGGACAGTCATTCTCAATAACGGTAGTTACCAACTTGTAGCTGTTGTTTTCATTTTTTTTGTGTGTGTTGTTTTCATTTTTTATTTTCATATATGAACATGCTCCTATTTTCCTAAGTCCCATAAAAGGGCTTTGTGATTCTTTTCTCTGTAGAGACAGAGATTCGGTAGCAAATTATAGCTGTTCTTTGTCTGAGTTTAAATGGAAGTACGATAGACTATAAAACAATATATACTCGAATGTGTACTGAAAATGCACTCTGGCCAGATATTGGCTGTTTTATCTCCATGGCTAAATAGAAACGTCAAGTTCAAAATATGATAAGCATGTGTATATAGAAAAACAGAACAGGATGGAGCTCAGGCTGTGATAAAGCTCTTGCACTAATAAACTCTACTATGAACACAGTAGTCTATAGAAAGTGTCATCTTTTTCAAATAGGTGGCTAGTTCATTGCTTTTTTTTTTTTAATGAATTATTTTATTTGCCTGACTTATTTTCAGAGAAGTGACAGCAGAAGGAGTAGTGATGTTGGTGGTTGTATGTACGGGTCATCCTTCTGTTGTCAAGGCTGTTGATATAATGACTGACTCAGCTTCAAATTAAGGTTATGAAAATACTGTAGAGCAGTGCAATTCTGACTTGTGAAGATGAGCTTGAAGATAATTTCATTTCTTTCTGGCATATTTTAATTGCTGCAGCAAGCAACTGCCCCAGATAGAAACTGTCCAGGAGTTCAGTGTTTTGTTTTCTGTCTTGCCCTCCATTATGCATCCAGAGATGGGTGACTGACTTCAGGTTCTTGCAATTGAACTGTTAAAACATTGAAGTCCATAAAATTGTTCTGGCCTTATTTTCTTGAATGGAATCAAAACTTTCAGCTGCTTCACGTGCAGATACGGGAGAGGGACATGAATGGGAGCTGCCGTGTCAGATGGCTCATTATTTTGGGAAAATAATTTCAGCATCGCGTAGGTATCCGGATGAGCAGGAGGTGGAAGTTACAACTAATGGAGAAAAACAAGTTTCTGAATGAAAAAGCTAAGCATCTCAATTAGAAGCAAAAGAATTAATATTAGTGATGGAGTAGATAATAATTTGGTACTTTCTCATAGTTGATTTCTTAATGCCAGTGAAGATCCCAACAACAAATGGATGCTAAGGAAGTTCTAATAATTCACATGGTTCCTTGGGGAGCAGCTCTGTGACAAAAGGGAAAGTTTTCTTATTCTTCACCTCGGAGATGCCTGATGGGTGGCTTTTTCAACAGACAGGCTAGTTGTACACTGCAAGGGTTGTTCATCCCCGTGATGGTTTATTACTTACCTATTTGACTTCTATCTGCAGCGCATTTAAAGTGCTCACAGTCAGTGTCATGATTCCCTCTCAAAGTACATCCACTGTTACTATTTTCTGCACAGCCCTGAAGACCTTATACCTTGTACCTGAAGAGAAATTTCTGTTTTCAAAGCCCATCGTATTGTAACTGCATTGTAAAAGAGGCCTAGGGAGAAAACAGACATATTCGTTACCAAGAACGAGTAACTTGCAAAGAAGCGTTTTTGTGTGATAACAGATACTCATGAGACTTTCTGAGGACAGAGCAGGCCAGTTTCTACTGAAGGGGGCATGATGAGAGATCTGTCATGGTCATGCATAAAGGAAGCAATTTATCAAAGGACAGCAATAGGACCTTATCTCTTCACAATAATCTGCTCCAAGATCTTTCAGCAATGCTGTTTTTGGTCTCATCCTAAAGAAATGGGTTGCATGTGAGAGTGCTTTTTTTCTGCATTAACACATTTGATGCTTTTTATTCCTCGAGCATAACTTTAAAAACCTACTGGCCCTGATAAGTTACTTTAGGAGAGATTCCCTGATGTTTTAGACAGCAGCTGGCGTTGTAAAGGAGACGTACCTTGGTAGCAGTGTTCATACTCAGGGGAAGTTTGGGATCTGCTCATTGATCTTACTGCATAAAACAAATGTTGATACATAAATCTAGAAATGCAGTAAGTTCTGCTGCTGTGGAATTACCTGCTTTTTTGGGCTTTGGGGGATTCTTGCAGTTTTGGGAATCGTATTTTCTCCTGTCAAAATTTAGAGGGCAAAAGCCTGTCAGAGAGAATACAAAAATAATTTTGGGGGAGAGAAATACAGCTGGGCTTTGGATGTGGTTGTGCCCTAGTGCCAGAGGGAGGGAGGCAAAACTGACACTCTAGAGAAGCAACAAACTTGTCTGGGATGCTGTGGTGGAAAAACATCATTAGAGCTACCCCTGAGAGGCAGGCAGTCTGTTCTGTAATAACAACTGACACTCTTCATGCTTAGGGACTTAAGTTATGTTTGTCACAACTTTGGCACAAGGAGAGAAGAGATTTCTTTTGTGTGGGTGTTCAGCAAATACAGCACTGCACAGGAAGGCAAAGATGTCTGCTGCCCTCCCCGTTTGATACAACAACCAGCCAACCAAAACAAGATCTCAGTGTTGCATCAAAAACCTTTCTCTGTTTTTCTTTTTTTTGTTGTTATTATTTAATTTCAGTGGGTCTGTGTTCTCTGATCAAGATTCCTGGCTTGTAGAGATGTGAGCCTTAGTCAAATTCTGAATGCTGCCTGTAGTACCACTGGTACCAAGACGTCAGCAGGAGCTTTTTTTGTTTGTTTGGTTGGTTTTTTTGAAGAGCTGGCCTAAATGTTCATTTCATTTAAAGCCCAAGCCAGGAGTATCATTTGTGAAACATCTGTCTCCTATTGTCTATTATAGCTAGTTGTTCCTAATATGCCTTACACAGTCTACAGTCTCTTGTCCTTCCTGTATACCAACAGATGGAAAAGAAGAAGCAAGAAAATAAAATGCGAAGGGACCAGTTGAATGACGAATACTTAGAGCTTCTAGAGAAACAGAGGCTTTACTTTAAAACAGTGAAAGAATTTAAAGAGGTAAGAATAATTTTGCCAATCTGAACTGGCAAGTGTTCAGTGACCCGTTTTGTCTTGACATTAATGTATGCACAGGAGTTCCTGATGTGATGCTCATCACACCATGTTCACTGTGTCTCTTGGTGGTTATCTCCACGTGATTCTTGGACTCTGAGTTTGATTCTGGAAATTCTTTTTTCACTGATAGACTAGCAGCCCTCCATGTTACAGGGGAAGGATTAATTTGTTAATTAATTTGCAAGCTGTGTATTTAGGTTTCCAGATGGAATCTCTTGAAGCTCTATGAGCAGTCAGGTATTGGAGCAAAGAAGGTTGTGTGAATAAGAGATGGAATCCAGAGTCTCTGTAGTTATAAATACCTTTCGGAACCAGTCTTGTTTTCTAACCCCTGTGAAAGCCCTGTTTAACACTTCATTGCTTTAGCCTTTCCTGAGCTTTTCATCATAATGTGCTTCTGTTAATTGTTGTCTCCGTGATAATGAATGGCAAAGTAGTGCTGCCAGGTTAAATTGAAATTTGGCTTCAGATGGTTGAGGAAAAACATCTTTCTATAATTTGCCCCACTTTGTTCTGAGACAGTTCCTTCCTGTTCTGGTCAATGTTCCTGTTCTGGTCAATTTCAAAGAGAAAGGGACTTTGCAGCTACTTTTCTGACATACGGAATTGTATGTCCTAGTTGCAGAACTTAGATGGAAGTATTTTTTTATTTTTTCTGTGGAAGCATAAATAAACCATTTTTCTTCCACTGCCCTGTGAGGGAACTACTCAACCTTGCTCTCCTTAAAAATTAATGACGTCATGGTTGTGGTGCTGAAAACAGGTGGTATGCGCTTCTGTAAATATATTTCTTGACTTGGAGCTGTTCCCTGAGCTCTGAATTTTTTTTCCAAACTGAATTGTGAAGTTCCCGATCACCTAAAAGTAAGGTCAATTTCAGATTTATTCAATTTATAAGTAAAAATGGATTTGCTGTAGCTACTTGTAACAACTTCAGACAAATGGCCAAGCAGCATTCGTTTTGGCTTGAATGTCATAAAGTTTAATGACTATTACCATTGGAATAACATTAGGGATGAATCAGAATTATCTTCAATGTATCGTCCTCTCAGACTACTTTGGATTTTGGAGACCTTTCAAAAAAAAGGGTTTCAGTTTTGCTGATGTGTAGCTATGACTAGTAGAGTTATGAGCAACTCCCCTCCCTATCTGTTTGCTTTCTGTTACCAGGAATGCCGTAAGAATGAAATGCTGCTCTCCAAGCTGAAAGCTAATTCTTCCTGAAGAGCTCCAGCTGGTGAAGTTTAGAAATGATTGTTCAGTCCATTGGAATCTCTTTTGTGAGGTGACAGTTATAACTGCAATGTAGATATATATATAGATATATATATATATAAAAATATATAAACACAGCTGTAAAAGTCTGTTTTTTTCCAGTATGTATTCAGTTTTACATTCCTTCATCACATGGCTGTATTATTCATTATTGCCTCCACTACACAGTAAAGAGCTAACGCAGTACAGAAAAAGAGAAATATTGTCTAATTTTATTTATTTGGGTTTGATGTTTTTTTTCCACAGTAAGGCCAACGGGGATGCTTTTTATTTGGGTTTTCACACTGAATTAGGTCAAGATTCTGCAATAAGTTAATATGTACTGTGTAATGTGTGCAGGACCACAAGATAAGCACTTCAGAATACAGTGGTTTATAAATTCTGGCCAAAAAATGCCACAGAATCAGATTCTTGAAACTCTCTTCACCAGCTAATAACTTCACATTATTTTAATTTACACTTTAGCCATAGATAAGATTCCAAAGGATAAAAATTAATTTCTAATGGTTAAGACATGAGAAAATGCAGACTTACCTTGGATAATCCCTGGTGTAAAAATATAGATCTATATTTTTATAAAGTCTAGCTGTTGTATAAATTTCTTTGAAGTTTCATTTTTATATATAGAGAGTGTGCTTCTTAAATTAATAGCTCCAGGAAAAAACACCTTAATCACTAGGACCATCATGTTACCCCTGGCTGGGATGAAAATCAAAGTCTGTGTCACCTGTAACACGGGAAGATAAAGATTCAGACATTCTGCTCAAATGAACTGATGCTCACCTTCGAAGACAACAACCTATTTACCCTGCTGAAGACTTGCCCTTGAAAGTTTAGAAACTTTGTGGAACACTTTCTGAAACACTTTTATATCTGTATATACAGTATTTTATAATTCAAACAGTTGCTTTTTGTACTTAACATCAGGATTTTTGGACTGACTTCTTAATGTACGTCACATCTTCCGGAGAAGAAAACCCAGGTTCTTTTTTTCCCCAGTAACACTGGTGACAGTGCTGGTCGGTTATTTCTATGGCAGCAAATATAAAATAAAGAATGTTTGGAATCCAGTGACCTTCTGCTATCGTGTTTTTAAGGTGGCACTTGCTTTAGAAGCCTTAATGCGGTTTTGAATTATGAGTGTGTTAAAAGATGAATTGTGTCAATATTTATTCATAAGGATGTTTTCATGTGTCACAGCAATTGGTAACGTTTTGTTTTCTCTTGCTGCTTTTTTTTTTTCCCCTCTCAGTGAGACAGTCCAGGTTCATCACGCTACAATGCCTGATTCCACTCCTTTTGAATACAGCGGAAGGTTTGATATTAGCATCTGAATTTATGCAAACCCAGTAGCATTGAAAATGGAGAAGCGTAGGCAACTGTGAAGCCTTGCAGAAGGAAATTGTTGATGTTTTGTCCAGGTGAACAGGAGTGAGTGGCCAGAACTGTGCTAGACCAGGTTCAATGTGATGGACCTTCTCAGAAATGACACTGTGTTTGTGACAACCTGAAACACTTTTTCTGTTCCTTCAGTACAAAACAAAGAAAAACTTTCTGCTGAGCCAGCCTTGTATCTTGCTCCCCCACGCTGGTTAGTGACTGAATATATACAGGCTGCTCCTCTTGTACCTCTGCAAAAAGCCAGTCTTCCCAGAGCGAGTGAAATAATGAAGGCAAAATTACCTTCCAGGTACCTTCAAAGAAGGGAAAAATTACATTCAGAGTTCCTTCAAAGAAGGAAATTTGCACTGAGGGCTACTTGCAGATTTTTCTCTAATCAGCTTTGGTATTAGGAGACATTATTTATGTCTACAAACTTTGCCCCCTATAAAAATGACAATTCTCTTTCTAATTTGCAAATTGAATCATTTAACTTTGGCACCAAGATGAGCTGTTTGTAAATTCAAGCTGTGATGTATGTGCACACTGTGCACTTCTACAGAAGTAACTGGAATGGTCGTTTCAGTTTGGGTCTTACGATTTTCATCAAAATTGCTATAGTGTTAAGGAAAATTTCCCAGGTAAGGTAAGTAATGAACTTACATGTAGAATAAATGATGTGATTATTTGTTCAGTATAACACTAAACTTCACACTTAGCTGTTACACACTCAGTAACCTGGAAACTTCTCCATGGAATATAAACCCTTCTAGTTGCTCTGGCTAGGAGCCTGTGATCCTGAGTAAGATGTAAATCGGGGTTTGTGAAGATCCAGTTATTGTTCATAGAAAATAAATCAGGTCCAGATTGGTTTGGACAAACCCAAATGAAAGAGGCACTTCTACTCATGGCCAACTTCCTTCCTTCTCCTGCATAACCTGCTGCCTGTCAGGGTTAGCCATGTGATCAGGCTGTCCCCAGGCAGTTTTGGTGTGGAGGGACAGGGGCGTATCATGCCATAGCTCCTCGTGGGAAGGTGATTTTTGGGAACTGTCTCCAAGATGCTTTGACACTAGAAACATGACAGTCCTGCCAAACAGAAACAACCGAGTTAATTTTGGCTTCCAGTAAAATGCTGACGGCTCTTTGTCAAAGTGAAGGGCAGTATCAGGAGGTAACTTCTAAGCTGAGTTTTCAAAGAAAGGAGGGCAGTGCTTAAAGTGGTAATTTTCCTTTAAGTCAATTAAGTCAACCTTCAATGTGTACCATGGCTTTGCTGGAGATTTCAGGTCCTTTTTGCATAATTGTTACATTAATATTTAATGGCCACAGTTTGGTGACTGGAGCTGTGCACTGAGGCACTAAATTCTGAGAGCGTAGACACGTGTGTGCAAAGCATTATACAAACCTACAGCAAGCAGAATCTCTCTTCATTTTCCATTTGCTGGTTGCAAGGGAGGAGCTTAGAGTTGCTCTGAATTTTGCCTCAGTACTGCTGGATTTCTTTGACTAAATAGAAAGATCTTGCTCTGAATTTATTTGGTGTTACCCGGCTTGTAAAATAACATTTACAGGACTTGTAGCAAAACTTCTGTTGTTTTTTTTTCATTTGACGGAGCCTGCTCAGACCTTAAATTTGCATTTCAATACATGTAGTTATTTTGATATGCTGATTAATAAACTCCTGTAAACTAACTCTGCTTTTTGTTTCAGAAACTGAGACAGCCTTTGAACACCAGGCATACGCTTACCTTTTAGACCGTGACAGCTTCCTTTAAATGTAGTTCCAGAAGTGCACTTGTAAAATAGCTGTTGAGAGTGAAATCAGTGACATACACCTAATCCAAGCATGAAAGAATCCAATCTTTTTGTTACAGTACATCAAAATGAACAAAGCGCTGCTCCAAGTCACTACTCATCTGAATACAAGAAAATCTTTGAAGGCAAGTTAAAACGAGAACAATTTTCTTTTTTTCTTATGGTTTCTTCTCTTCTTCCTCTTTATTTCATGAAAAATCTGCTTATTGGAGTGTGAACTTCACGTGTAGATTCCTGAACCAAACAGTATTTGATGGGGGAGAAATATATGACGTGCAAAAGCACTTTTCTGTGTGACAGAGCAGCACGTTGCACTCTTTATTCTCCAGAGACAGCCGTGGTACAGGTATAGCCAGCCATACAGGACATAGCAAAACTGCTCAAATTCCTTTAGAAACATGCAATTACTTGCATGGGAGAAAGGCTGTTACTTCTTTTAGGTCCCACTTTTTGTATAGCTGCTGGAAACAGGCACAACAGTCAGCTGGAGAATTGTGCCACTACACCCACCGCCTTGGCTAAATTAGGCACGTAAGTAGGGCAGACGTACAAGAAGATACACAAATCTCACCAGTTTTGGTGGATGACGTATTCTTAAGAGAGTCTTTTCTCTAAAAAAATTTGTGAACACAAGCCCGTTTATTCATGCGGTGCCTACACAGCCCTGGCTACCACCTGTGCCAGCTTGGCCAGCGACTATCAGAGCTGCTCAGGCTGTGGACCCTGGGGCTCGAGGTGGGTGCTGCCTCTTTGCCCAGCTCTCTTCAGATGTGGTTGGTGGCCACATGGCAGGCAGCAGTGTCTTCCAATAACCTGCTGCTCATACCTGGTGTCTTGGTGACTGTGGGGTAGACTGGGTTATGAGGTGCTGCTCACAGGGGTTTGTAAACACAGGTTCTCAGGGCCAAACCCTTCACAGCTTTTTTGTATCAATCTTCATATAGGAATTGTTTGGGAATTCTCATGTGAAACAGCTATTTAGATGGAGAGACTGAAGTATGGTTACATCAGAAACTCCTGGGTACAATAATAAATTACCGAAGAGCTTTTGTTGTGGAAGCTGTAGGATGGACATGGGCCTCTTGGAGAGAGGAGCATTGAAAGTTATTAGTGTTTTCTGGTCGTGTTCATCTGGTCGTGTTCATCTGGGCTCCCCAGTTCAAGAAGGACAGGGAACTGCTGGAGAGGGCACAGCAAAGGGCTACAAAGAGGATTAGGGGCCTGGAGCATCTCTCTTACAAAGAAAGGCTGAGGGACTTGGGTCTTTTTAGTCTGGAGAAGAGAAGACTGAGGGGGGATCTGATCAACACCTATAAATACTTAAAGGGTGGATGTCAAGAGGATGAGGCCAGTCTTTTTCCAGTGGTGCCCAGTGACAAGACAAGAGGAAATGGGCACAAACTTGAATGTAGGAAGTTCCATCTAAACATGAGGAGGAACTGCTTTACTTTGAGGGTGGCAGAGCCCTGGAACAGGCTGCCCAGAGAGGTGGTGGAGTCTCCGTCTCTGGAGACGTTCAGAACCGGCCTGGGTGACCTGCTCTAGGAGGACCTGCTTTGGCAGGGGGATTGGACTAGATTATCTCCAGAGGTCCCTTCTGACCCCATATCATTCTGTGATTCTGTGATTTCTGCACAATCTGTGGATTCCAGGAGCACAACAAACTGAGGCCTTAATTTCAATATAGCTGCAGCGTTCTTGGAGCCTTGCTGCAGGATCCAGCAGTGCCTTTCTGCTGAGCAGGGGTCTCCAGGAGCAGATTCAGTGTCAGGAAATGACAGTAAAACTAGTAGTCCACTGTGTACAAGCAGAGATGACTGGTATAATCCAAACTGGCAACTTGTATTTTGGGGAAGTACGTGACTGTAGGCCTAAGCCCTGCCAAATGATGTTTCTTTAGAACAGCTGATTTGATTTTGTTTTCTATCTGGATATTCAAGGTACTGTATCGTTTATCTTGGTTCACATGGGAGTTGTATTTTCCGTATCTTTTTTGGTCCATCTGGAAGCCAAGGATCACAGCACAGCAATAATGTAAGAGCTAAACTAATGCTTAGAAACACCTGAAAGAGGAACGCTTACATGCCTGATTTTACTGTTCCCTCTTTTGTCAATTAAAATAGAGTTGCAAGTTTTAATAATGAAAGTAATTAATCACAGAAATAAGGTACCAAGGGAAGTAGAAAATTATCCAGAGTTCCAGCTTTTTTTTAATCAAAGTTGATGACTCTCCAGCTTTTTTTTTTTAATCAAGGTTGATGACTCTCCAGCAGCGATGCTCCCATCGCACTGTGACTGGGTTTGGCACACAAATGGATGGGGAACAGGCTGTGCCAGGGGATGCTGGTGCCTGTTCTGGCCTTAAGGAGGAAGCAGCATCCACCATGTTGGGCCATAACCCCAGGAAACGGAATTCTTCTACAGAGGCTCAGACTCACTTCTTACAGAAGCTGATTTAATCTCTGAGGAGGGGCAGAGCTATATTTTACGCTGTGTCAGTAGCCCTGCTACCAGTTCTCCAGTCACCTGCAGATAGTCCTGCATCACCTTCATGATTTGCAGCAATACCAGTGCACTGCCCACTGCTCTTCTGGCCTTACAGTATTTTCTCAAGTTCAAGAAGCTGAGCGATGGTAAAACGTACCTTCAAAATCTCCATTGCTTCTTGGAATCACAGAATGGTTGGAGTTGGAAGGGGCCTTCAAGATCATCTAGTTCCAACCCCCCTGCCCTGGGCAGGGACACCTCCCACCAGACCAGGTTGCTCAAAGCCCCATCCAGCCTGGCCTTGAACCCCTCCAGGGATGTGTTCAAGAGAGAACAGTGACTATCTTAGATGAAAAATTCAGTCCATTTGAAACATTCATTGATGGTTCAGAGTAAGGCCAGCAGGTTTCAGTAACTTTTAGACTCTCACATATGTCTTCCTTCTAGTTTAATTAATCCTCCAAACACTAGTTTGGACAGTAGCTATTCCATATGCAGGCAAATTGAGATTCACAAGGGAAATTTAAGTTGGCTTTTAAAAGTCTGAGCCGTTAACAACTTTTTGAAATTCTAGGTTATCAAAATTTCTTAATTCCCATTAAAAGCGAGAGGAGAAGCATCCTCTGCAGGTACGTAAGATGCAGAGATGCCCGTGGCCACAGACACGGCAGTTCCTGCTGGAGTGTCACAGTACCATAGGGTGTGAAGTACAGCAGTGCCTGGTCTCACCACGAGGCCAGGGGTTCCCATAAGGAACTGGAGGAATGTGCACTTCGACAGCATTTATTAAAATCTCTTATTTAGAAAGGACTTGCCTCAGTCCAATTTGCCTTTATACCTGAGGTTAAGCGTGAACTGACATCAGCAGATACACAAACCGTGTTGGGCTACACTGCAACAAACAGTGCTTTACAGTTAAGCAAATACAGACTGCATCATTTTTCTGTTTTTCAGAACACAAGCTACTTGATGACACCTCTCCAACATGGCTGTTACGTACGTCAGTCCCCAGCTGCTAGGAACACTCCTTGCTGCCGGTGCCTCCGAGACTGCCAGGGAACCAAGGCTTTGGTAGGAGCTTCCCAGTCGGCACTGGTGTGGCTGCGATGCCCGTAAGCTGGGCAACAGCCAGGGGTGAGGCTGAGCAGGATGCACTGCAGGGAGCAAAAGATGCATATTGCTGGACCTGTAATTTGTGACTTTTTGGTCATTCTGTGCAGTTTTGTGGTGTTTCCCTGAGGTTACACTTGGAGTCAAAGGGTTCCTTAAGCAGCAGAAAACACAAAACTGGCAAACGCAGCATAAAAGGTTAAACCTCAGCTTCAGCAGCACCCTTGGTGTCGCCCAGCCCCACCAGAGCTACAGTGTTTGCCCTTATGGTACCTATAGAAGCTTTAGGAGGGGATGGGAGAGGCCATTGGGACTCTTATCAGTAAAAACAGAAATACGCAAAGATACTGCCAGCTTCCCCTCCTCAGGGAAGGGGAGGCAGTAAAACCCCCTAGAACCACAAATACAGAGACACTGAGCAGTATGCATGGAAATTCCTACCTTTTAATTTATTTATGTATATATTATTGGGACAGGAGTGTTTGTTAGATCTTGGAAAAACAACTTAAGGCTTGGTTTTGAGTCACTCTGCAGGTTTTGGAGTCGCTTAGACCTGATGGCATCAATGCCTTCCTTACAGGAGGTGGAAGTCGATGCACGCTGACAAAGGGTGGAATTCACTCAGGTAAGGTGCTGAGCACAACATTTATGATGCAAGGACCCCAGAGAGCACAGTGGGGATACTCACCTACCACTGACAAGCAGCCACGTATGGCTCCCAGCATACCTAGTGATTGAATACAGCGTGTTTGGAACACAAATGCAGGCTTAGTTTTATGGCAGCATGAAATAATAACATGTCCAGTCCCCCAGAACTTGGAGGTATCAGGTGTGTCTACCTTGAGCTCAGCTGGGTTTCAGAACAGAGGGAGAGCCTGAGCCCTGCAGGGTGAGAGGGCACACCACAGGTGAACACTGTGCTTGATCCTCCCCCTGCGTACGTAATGATTTTACACTTGGCTCTAAAATGTCACTTAACCTAAGGGGACACAACTGACCTGTATTTCACCAAGACCTCCCGTCAAGAACTGCTGCTCATTGGAGAACCTGCAGCCCTTCAGTCACATACCAGGGCGAGTTTGTGAGCTGCTTAGTCATCCATTTTAATTTCATATCAATGGAACAACTGATTGAATACAGCATGTTTATTCCCTCCTCTCCAAATAAATCTCAAAAATGAAGCCAGCAGCCTGCCCATATCACAAACATTTCAGTATTGCTCAATTAGCAGTTCCCCCCAGTGCCTTTGCTAATGACGAGCGAGCTACAGAACGGCACCTGTAGCTGGTTAGATGAGATCAGTCCGGATAGATTTGACAGTCACAGTATTAGACACACACAGTGCTTTACTTCCAGACCTTAACACGTTGATCCGAAGAGCAGACAGGAGGGATTCACTGCTTTGACCTTCTTTGCCACACCCTGGAGCATCATGCATGTGTTACCAGTAGCACTGAATGATTTTACACTTGGCTCTAAAATGTCACTTAACCTAAGGGGACACAACTGACCTGTATTTCACCAAGACCTCCCGTCAAGAACTGCTGCTCATTGGAGAACCTGCAGCCCTTCAATCACATACCAGGGCAAGTTTGTGAGCTGCTTAGTCATCCATTTTAATTTCATATCAATGGAACAACTGATTGAATACAGCATGTTTATTCCCTCCTCTCCAAATAGATCTCAAAAATGAAGCCAGCAGCCTGCCCATATCACAAACATTTCAGTATTGCTCAATTAGCAGTTCCCCCCAGTGCCTTTGCTAATGACGAGCGAGCTACAGAACGGCACCTGTAGCTGGTTAGATGAGATCAGTCCGGATAGATTTGACAGTCACAGTATTAGACACACACAGTGCTTTGCTTCCAGACCTTAACACGTGTTGATCCGAAGAGCAGGCAGGAGGTATTCACTGCTTCGACCTTCTTTGCCCCACCCTGGAGCATCATATAGGTATTTCCAAGGAGGAACTGTAAACTGTCAGTAGGTTTATATTCAAACATCTTCCATCTTCTTCACTGCTCCTAAATCCTCTTATAGTAACTCGAGCACATGAAAACTGTACATACCACAGGCACATTTCCCTCAAGAAATCTCCGAATGATTTTCTCCTCTGTGTCCCCTTTTATCTTTGCTTTACAAAAAGGTTCTTGAAGGCATTGTTGTAATTTTTGTTAAATGCTGTATATATGAGAGGATTGAAGAAAGAGTTGGAGTAGCCAAGCCAAAGAAAGATGCTTTTCCAGATGGGTGGGATGTTGCAGGAACAGAGAGGACTTATTAATTCTGTGATGAAGAAAGGGATCCAGCACAGTACAAAAACTCCAATTAAGATGCCAACCATCAGAGCTGCCTTTTTCTCTTTCTGTTCTCTCCATGTTTCTCCATCTGTCTGGAAAGTGATAGCTGCATGACGAGCTGTAAACACCATCTGTGGTTCATGCGAAGCTTCCTTCACCTCAAAACAAAAGCAAACATGGATTTTTACCAAGACAATTTGTTTGAGTGAAGTATTACTTTTAAATGACAGCACGACATCTGTGCACCTACGACAAAAGGCCCCAACTCCGTTCCTTCCAGGCTAAAAGAAAGAAAATGCCCCAGAGTGCCAAAATTGCCAGATTTCTCATTATGTTGGAAAAGCTGCTGAGTGTGACTGAAAAACAAAGCTAAATAAAGGGTAACTGGTGCATGTGTGTTGTGGGCACTCTATTTCAGTTTATTTTATTTTATTGGATGCCTTGATACCTAGTGGGAAATCAGGTTGTTGAGGAAGATTAACAAAGGCACGTGCCTTCTGCCTATCCCTAAACTAGACTCTCCTACACTGCTACATGACCTTTAGGGTTCCTCAGGCCTGCATCGTAAATTCATTCCATTCCACTGGAGGCCCTTTGGGTCATCTCCCTAAGGTGTTAGGGAGGGACCTGCAGCAAACGCCTCGTCTTTAGGCAATATTTTCTTCAGCCTAACTGCCTGGATGCAGAGCTCAAAATCTCATCCCTGGTGGGTGCAGGAACTTGCACTACCACTCGTTCAGCAGAAGAGACAGAGGACATCCCAAAAACCTCAGCTAAATCTACAGGAATATTCTTCCATGAGAACCATTTTTAATAAAAGAATGGGATTTCAATTAAAAGAAAGTTTTAAGAAACGCATCTGATCCTTGGAAAATGATGATATTTCCTCGCCTCCCAAAATCTTAAACGCCTGAAATAAAATTGAATACTTCAGAAATATTTCAGTAGCAAGTAAACCCATCAAGAAGAGTCCCTTATGAAAGACAGAACTTGGATGCCTTCTGCTCTTCTTTGCCACTCATCACGGGCACTTCTCCCTCCCGGAGGGGGACAGAGCTGTGTATCACACCAGCTGCAGCCTGGTCACAGTGCCAACACCATATATGACAATGGGAGCATAAGGATGCACCTGAACGTGATGTACCCTCAGGCACTGTGCCACCACTTTCAATTAGCTTATAAAATACTCTGGTAGTGATCAAAGAAAAGCTTTGCTGGAGAACCAGCGTTTTCTGGTTCTCATTTTCTCTCTTTGGTCACCTGTCTTCTTTTATTTCACTCAGATCTACTTGGTATTCTCACAAAAAGTCCTCTGTTGCCAGAAAACAATCATTTCAATCAGCTCTCAGTTCAAACTCTGGCTTCAACAGAAGTTACACAAGAGAGGGGAAAACGTCAGCTACTCCAGTGAGGACAGCACAGTGCCCGGACGGCAGCCAGACTGTGGCACAAGTTATTAATGTGCTTAGAGGCTATCCAGAAAAAGATACTCCCTTGTGATTTTAATCTGAAGATTAAAGCATCTGCCAGCTTAAAGTTCTTCTAGGCACTATGAACAGTGCACTAAAATAAACAGTTTAAGGATGCAACCTGAGGATCTAAAATTTGCCTACGTGGTAATTCACAGGCACCTCAAGGCTTGGACACCACCCCCCAGAAAGGTTGTTGTTAAATTAGCTACACGTTCCACACTCATGTGCCACCTTTGTGTGAGCTTTATAATAGATGGACGGCCTCTACTGAATATGAGGAGAGCAGCTCGGAGGAGGAGGCACTGGCAATGGCTGGACAATCACTCTTCAAGATGGATATCCCTGTCTTCCCCCTCAGACGGGAGACATGGCTGCAGAGTGTAAGAGCAGCAGATTATGGGCGCAGGCAAATAATGGAGGAAAATGAAAATCACATCTGTCCTGACAATTAAAATGGGACACCCCTCATGTAGCAAGGATCACACCATTTGTCTGCAGGAGGACTTGCTCTGCACATCCTTAATCACACTCTGCAAAAAGGGATGAATGTATGACACGAGGACAAATCTGTGACAAGCAACCCTGAAAGATTACGTCTTAGCCCTGAGGAATAGCTACATAAGTATGCCTCTTGGGATGAGCCATACAAAGGACTCTGTCACTAGCATCGGGCACAGTCTGGTACTATATTTAACCTTCAACTCTCACTCAAAAGATAGAGCTTGCAGTGTGCCATCATCAAATCAGAGCCTTTTCAACACTTCAGGTCTTAGAAGGCTTGTGACTGAACTGTGGAATTTACTAGTAGAGACTTTTTTATCGCTTAATTTCATACTGTGAGAAAAAATTATTTGAATTATTTTGATATAAGATACCACAGTCCTCGGGTATTTTCCCTAAGGAACCATGCATTTACAGCGTGGTCAAGCTTCTACTGAAATCAGAGAAGTTTCCACAAACTCCACTGGTTGGTAGATCAAACCTCTGAATACTAAACAGCAAGTAAAATAGATCACGGTATTTTTTGTAAATTACAAGAGCCTGACTCATCTCCCTGGCCTGGCTGGTGCAAGATTATGTTGTCAAGGCTGTTTGTTATAAGCCAACCCACCCAAAGTACATGGAAAGTAAATTAGCCCACTGTAGGGAAACGCTGTTGTGGCACACAGCACTGGTGGGGGAACCGTGCTGCAGGATCTCCCCCTTATGCAGGCGTGGGGTAATCCACTGAGATTTGGCATTTTCTGAACAAAAGCACAAGCCAAGAAGATTATGTACCTGCTTTCCAGCCTTCTCAGTTGTGATGTTCCTGAACTAAGCACAGCTCTGACTACACCGAACCTGCAGTTTCCAGTGCCAACCCTGGAGGCTTTGCGTGACTCCTATTTCTAAGCTAAGTCACAACACCTGACCGTTATCCCTGTGCCACGTGGAAGAAAGGACAAGTCCAACATAAAACCTTTTCACACTATTTTGGGCCTACTGATCAGTGCTAACAAACAGGCTCTGGCAGGGAAAAAGGTGGTAACAGACTAAATTAAAGCAATCCATGAAGACGTCCCAGTTCATACTGGGGATGTCTCTCACATAGGAGCATCTCTGCATGGTGTTGCACGCTATTCTCACCCAGTGGCAGGCTGCATACTAAGCCCTGGGCAGAGATTTCCTTCCCTTTGCCCAGGCTCTGCTTCAGGAGCAGTAGGGAAAAAGGCTGGTATGAAAGGACTGCTACTCTGAGGCCAGAATTCGGTTCTAAATTCATGGAATTTCCAGGACAACAGGCTCTGCAAAGTGCAGAGATGACCTCTTTGCAGTGAGAGCGTCGTATAGAGAGTTAAATGAAGGAAAAGAGCTCTCAAGTACAAATTCTTCTACAAACACAAAGAAGTTTGGTTTTAGTTTCAGAACTCATTCTTCTGTACATTGATCAGCAGGTATTGATCAATGCCACTTCTGTTGTTTGTCTGTTCCCAGTACATTACTACTGCTAAAGAGCTGTATGTTCCTAGAGCTGTACGTTCCAATTCCTGTGTTCCTAGAACCATTATTAAAAATATGCTACCAAGGAGCTTCTGATGAAATCCCTTGATCTAAAATGTCCTTTAGAGCTTTAATGATTGCTATTACTGGTCCTTCACAGCATGGTAGTGTGTGTTTGTAATATGCCCCAGGCTCTGCAATAACTTCTGATTTAAACAACAGTAAAGATGATAAACATCAACGAAATCTGGCTTGCTACCAAAAATTCAGAGTTTTGCCTATTACAGTGTGATTCAGCAAAGAAAAAGATCACCGTTGCCTCAGTGCAGCTTTGGCATACTTCTTGCTCTTTGAACAAGGACACAAGAAACTGAAATGTGCAACCAAGGATCAAAACATAGGAATGTCTGCACTTTCTTGAATGCTCCACCAGTATGACACATAGTACATTTGACAGGGAGAAGAATACCTGCTTTTTTTGACAGTATTTTCTTCTTCTGCAGGCAGGAATAGCTGTGCATTTCTCCCAGGAAATTGCTAGCCACTCCACTTTGCTTCCTGCCTCATCTTTCTCCTATCTGACATCTGTCGCCACTCTTCTGGACACTTGCACTTTGTTTCCTGACCCATCTCTTCTACTTGCACAGTCAGAGGCAGAAATAAGAAATAGAAGGCCTGCGACTCCTTCAGGGAAAAGGAGAATCCATTTTCTCTCCCATGCTGTCCTGACTCGTTTTGTGGGTTGGAGAAATTGCACGGGCCAAGGCGCCAACCAACACTGCACCGTTGGAGCTCTGGGGCCTGATGCTATCTCAGTAGTGGGAAGCTCTCTCACAAAACTGATAAGGTTTGGACCAGGCCTAATCACTCAGACCCTGACTATGCAAGGAACTTTAAGAGGGGGAAAAAAAAAAAAAACACCACCACAAAACCAACCATCAACAGAACTTGATTTCTAACTCCTCACATCGAAATTGAATCCTGTCCCTGCAATTGCCACATATAAGTAAACCTGACATTCAGATTCTGACATCCTTGTTCTTGCTGGACAAAACCTATGCCACAAGTGACTTCATGGATTTAAAAGTGCACGATCCAGCTGTATCTCCTGTTTTTCAGGCAGTCTCATTTATTTCAGTTGGACTATTAACAGAGACAGTTTACCACTGTCAACAAGGTATGACAGAGTATAGTTGTCAGAGTCAGTGATGGTATGTCACTAGTTTTTTTTATGACTCACTTTTTAAAGAGTTTCATAATGAACAACATAATTCTAAAAGCACCAGCCTAATTTAGGGCCCCAATTCTGCATATTATTTTTGTTTCAAGGGAAAGTAAGAAACAAACTCTCATTAAAACCAGAAGCACTTCAGGTTTCATGTCCATCCCCCTCACCTTAATTTTTTTCCAAGACAGAAGTACAATTTTAACGAAAATTGACTCAGAGTAGTTATTTTGTAACTATTCTATTCTGCACCTCTATAAGAGTATAGAAACATAACGTATGTATGCCAACTCCCAGCTCTGAGACAGAGTGGATGGGCAAAACAAGAGAAGCGTTTGCCCCATCAGAGAAAAGGACAGAGCTGATGCTGACAGCCTAATTACCCCTGCATGTGGAGAAGCAAAGCTGCATCATCTCACCAGGTTTGCCACATTCCCTGGCAATGTTACCTTTGTGTTTGCATGTTAAAAAAAACGGGTTTTCCCAAAGGAACAGTAGTGATGTGTTTGAAGATTCTTCTCCTGAATTCACTGGGAAACTGCTGCTATTCTTGTGGACATGATGGAACCTGCTCCTGTAAGCTTAAGTGAGATCAGGATAAAATCTGGTGAAAAAGTCTCAGTCTCTTAACTTAGAAGAAAACTATTAAATGCATCCTGAATGCCACCAGCTCCCTTGATCCACAGGTTCATTTAACGTACTTGTGTGCAGCTGGGCATGATGAAGTAAAAGGTGATGAGTCAAGTTTTGCATGCGAATCACAGAAGTCTTTTTATATTTAAGTTGGCAAATGAAGCTGCTTGGACAATGGAGAAGGTTGGCACTATACACCAATTACAGATTCAAGAATCACTATTATAAAAGGAGAACTTAATCTGTCAATCAGTGCCAATACAAGAAAGATGAAGAACGACTGGGTTGAGCATTTGCTGGTATTGCAATAACAGCTATAATGGCCACCCCTCCAAAACGGGTATTCAGCTCGAGCTGACAGAAGCTCTTTTGTCAGTATAGCCTAAACCAGCTCCCAGACACTGCATCAGCAAAAAGCACTTACCTGCCAGCCTGGCTGTGCCCACGCAAGGGCTTTTGCAGACAGAACTGTGACAATTAGGAGACACATGATTTTGTGTTAAAACTGACATGACCAACAAGAGGCTAAAGCTGAAGCAGCAATGCCCCAGCTTCGTTTAGCTTCCCAGAATTTTAGATTCCCAACAACTAGTCCTGCATGAGTATGTGTGTATGTAAGATAGAGCATGCAAATCCATGGCAAATATTCAGTTAGCTCTCATGCTTGGAAAGATTATACATTAACTCCAAGCAATACATTCATCATACTTAAAAGAACTTGGAAAGAAATTTGGTGCAAACAAGGGGATGAAGGCCATAGGGAAAATAATGCCACTAGAGGGGACATTCTCATCTTTTCTAACACATTTTCTGCTTTTGCATAGAAGAAAGCTTCGTAAGTCAATTTATATTAAAAACATCTTTAAGACATTAGGATCCAAATGTGCAAGTCTGACCGCATAGAATTGCCAGTGCTGTCACCTCTTACTAGAATCAGGACACAACTTTCAGACTATTATTCATGACCATAATAACACGTTTCCTACCATGACTCCAAATCAAAGTTAGAGGGATTTAGCAGGGGAGTGAGGCTGTGCAGGATTAGCCCAAATTGAACAGAAATGTTCCATGTCTTTTTAGGTATCTATCTCTAACCTGCACACAGCTGCTCTTTTGTTATTGGGAAGGGACTGAACTTAGCAAGCACAACACGCAACCACAAAAATGTACTATAAAGAAGCAGTTCCTCCACAGTCAGGAGTGAGAGTAAGGGTATGTGACAGAAAGCAGAGGGAGTTTACAGAGAGCAGCACTACCGAGCACCTTGGTGACACAGCATGGGTGACAGCGTTGTCATGCAGAGACCCTGACTTAATGGGACACACAGGCCAACCCCAACCCTTCAACAGGAACACAGCTTTCCTCTTAGCTAACTGCATTCCCCAAATGAGTAACAACTCCCACCTGACTAGAGCTTTGCAGGATTACAGGCAATGCTTGGGATAAGGAGGAGGATTGCATGGTTTTTAACACAGCTGGTAATTTTAAAATAGAAACCATTCATTGCTCATTACTTCAGTAGTATGCAGTGAGCAGTATGTTCCCAGTATTCAAGGTAAAATAGCACAAGCACATAAACAGAGCGTATAATTTGCCTGTTAAAATCTATTCAGACACTGATAGATCCCACACAAAGTCCCTGCTGGCAGATAAATGTGCAGGCATTTACTCTATACACAACCTGGGGATCTGTTTACGTCTTTGTTTACCCCAGCAACACTGTAAAAAAATAAAGAGTAAAAAGCCCCAAGGAATCTTAAATTCAGACTAAAGAGATGATTTTTAAATGGCTCTCCAGACCGGCAGTGAATGCACGTGTCACTGACTCCTACAGCACAGTTAAGAAAAGAATGAGAATGAAACTCTTCTCCCAAGAGTGTCACTTTTTGACTGGCTAATTACGGCTCACACCTCATCTGTAACACAGCTAAATTCTCACGACAGCCCCAGGGCACGTCTCGGTCTTCTCACTTGCCAAGACCACCAATGCTGAGGAGAAGCAGGAGCCCAGGTGCCTAGTGGAGGCAGTGGGGGCTCTCCTCCCCATCCCCACCCTTACCTGGGCAGCCTCGGGCAGGGGCACCACGGCGTTCCTCCTGCGGCCCCCAACGCGGAACTTGGCCGCCTTGTAGATCTTCCAGTAGACGAAGAGCACCACGCAGAGGGGCAGGTAGAAAGCCCCACCGGTGGAGACAATGGTGTAGGAGGGCTCCTGGCTGACCTGGCAGCGCTCCTGCTCCGGGCTGTAGGTCTCCCCCCAGCCAAAGAGGGGGGCGAGAGAAATGGCGGCGGAGAGCGCCCAGGTGAGAGCGATCATGACGTTGGAGATGCGGCGGCGGGTGAGCAAGGTGTACTCCAGGTGGCGGGTGATGGACCAGTAGCGATCCAGGGCGATGGCGGTGACGTTCCAGATGCTGGCCGTGCAGCACAGCACGTCGAAGCAGACCCAGACGAGGCACAGCTCCCGGCCCAGCCGCCAACGCCGCCCAGCTGACAGCTCCTTCACCAAGCTCAGCGGCATCACCAGGGCTGCCACCAGCACATCCGACACCGCCGTGGAGGCCACGAGGTTGTGGGGCACCCGGTGGAAAGCCTTCACTCTCAGGATGGTCGCCAGCACCAGCAGGTTCCAGAGGAAGGTGGCCACCGTCAGGAGCACCAGCAGGGTGAGGATGAGGATGGTGAAGATGGAGAAGGGCTCACGGCCCCTCCAGGCGCTGCTGCCCACCAGCTCGGAGGCAGCCGAGGAGGCGTTGGCATCCACGTTGGCTGAGGAGGTGTTGGCCTGACACTGTCCCCGTGGGGTGCAGGGGCTCAGGGTCTCCGCCATGCCCGGGACAGGGGCTCAGCCCCTCACTACTCCCGCACGCCAGCACTCTCCCCTTTTCCCTGCCCCGCTGCCGGCGAGCGGGAGCCCACGCCGGGCTTCCCTCAACGGCTGGTCGCCACCGCAGCCCGCTCGCCTCCTTCCCGCAGCGCCTCCGGCCACCCGCCGCCGCCCGGGCCGGCCGCTCCTCACGCCCATCACCGGGCGGCTGCGGCGGCGACCACGGACCGCGGCGAGGGGCAGGCACGGAGAGGGCGGCACCGCCGCTCCCGCCCCGCCCCGGCCGCCGCCTCGGGGGAGGTGGCGGAGCCCGTGCGCGGCGGTCGGACCGCTCCGGTGCGGGGAGAGGCGCCGCTTCTCTCGGGTTCTCCTCACGGCTCCTCTGAGGCGGCGGGGCACCCCCTTCTCCTCACCGCCGGGCTGAGGCGGCGGGACGCCCCCTTCCCCTCACGGGACGCCCCTTTCCCCTCACGGACCCCCTGAGGCGGCAGAAGCCCCGCTTTTCCTCGCGGTCCCCCTGAGGCGGTGGAGATTCCCTTTCCCCTCACGGACCCCCTGAGGCGGCGGAAGCCCCGCTTTTCCTCACGGTCCCCCTGAGGCGGCGGGGATTCCCTTTCCCCTCACGGCCCCCGCCCGCCATGTTCCCCTCAGCGCTGCGGCCGGAGCGTCGCCTCATCCACCGCTGCCTGCAAGGTTGGTGACGGTTTTAGTACCGGACAGGAGCTTTTTTCTAGGCTGCAGCATTTAAATGAGAATTTTTTCGAGTTAGAAAAAAAAAACACCACACCCCAAAACTCTGAAGTTCTTAAAATTTTTAAGTGGCCGGGAACAATCTCTGTCTTCACAGCTGTTCCGAGGCTGTTCATGGCCGTTTTTTTACTAAGATCACTTGCCCAGCCTCTGAAAACTCACCCTTCTCCCAGCCCTTTCCAGTAACAACTCTCAAAATCAAGATGTTTCAAAAATATTTTTAAACTTGTTACACAACCTTTTTTAAAGCCTGTAATAGATGTTAATAGGGTGGTACACATAAAGGAGATGCAGTGATGAGCTTTGTCACCTCCCGACTAATAAACGGTGACAAATAGTGTGACAGGATCATATAGCAACCTGGATCTTATATCTAAAGTGCATTTAAGATATTATATCTAAGGCCTTTGGGAGGTATCCTTTATCCCAGCCTACAATCCATAAAGGACCAGCATTTCCACCCCCTTTTCTTTCCCCTTAGTCTGTTACCAGGATAATTTCAGTGGGAGTTACTGCACAAAACACAGGCTCTTTTCCCTTACCAGGTCATATGGTGCTATTGAGAGATCTCCAAAGATCTCTCTCTGGAATTTGAAGTTGTTGAGGGTCAGAAGGAAAGATCAAAGAAGGTCAGTGAAGTTTGTTTCCTTGCAAATGGAATCAGAATGGTTTGGAAGGGAACTTCAAAGTTCTGGAAGGGAACTTCAAAGTTCTCGTTCCCACCCCCCCGCCATGGGCGGGGACACCTCCCACCTGACCAAGGTTACTCAAAAGTCCCATCCATCCTGGCCTTGAACGCTTCCAGGGATGGGATATCCACAATAGCAGCCCACTTACCATCACAGACTGTAAAGGGGCAGAGTTCGGCAACAGGAGATTTGTTCCTCTTTGCTGAGGTAGAGAAGAAGCATTTTCTGGGTTAGAGTACTCTCATCTAAATGAACGTTCTTCAGATCAATATTCTTCACTTGCATTCACGTTCACTCAAGGAACAGCACCATCTGACAAAACAGAAACCTCTCACAATACCACTATGTTACCCCCAGCAAGCAGGGTCGAGCTTGCCTTACTCAGGGGTCCCAACTTCAAAAGCTGAAACAATGATGAAGCGTTACAGAAATGAAAGACAATGACTATAGTCAGAATGACCAGGCTGTTTTGCTGGTTAACTTTCACATGGCACTTTACTCACCAGGTGAAAAAGCAAATAAATCCTTTCCCAGGCTCTTAATGCAGGCATGATTTTGGTTATTCTTTCCTATAGTAATTCCAAAAAGTGCTCTAGTGTAAGCCAGCAGCTAAGAGAAAACTATCTGCATTACTTACCAGCTTTTATTATTAGGAGAAAAGGACTTCTGAGTGCTAAATGTGTCACATTTTGCCACTCGAGCTTCCAATAGGCAGAATCTGACAGAGCTTGTCAAGAAGAGCCTTTTCACAGCACTGCTGCAAGTTAAGCCTAAAGCAGCATCTGAAACAATGAGGCACTGGTAAAAATGTCAGGGTTGGCAGACAGCATGTGTCTGCTTCACAAGCGGCTTTGCGTGCTTTGTCTGTGTATTGCTCCTTTCTGATTTGTGTCTCGTTTTGTTAATTAATGCCACTTTTAAAATGCCAGCTAAAGAATTACTGAACAACACTTTATGCCTCTAAAAGGCACCCAGACCTAAAAGCAGTAAGGAAAACAAACAGATAAAAAAGCCCTTTAACCTATAAATGTTTCAAGAATTGGCAGTCCAATGCTGTGAACTTAATAAAGAAATAAAAGAATCTTGTCACAATTTGAATAACTCAGCTAAAAAAGACTGCAAGCATACAAACAAAAATCAGAATAACTGCAAAAGTTTCATCTTCAGGGGCCTACATGGGCCAGAATACAATCAGTTTGTTCCTGCTTCTGCTGGAAATTAGGTTGTCTTTTTTTTGTGTGTGAGGGTACTTCATTTATGGGTTGCAGTCCATTAAAGCAGCCCAAATGATCTCAAAATCTTCCTTTCCTAGAAACCTTGTGTCCCATCCTTGTACTCCTATTTATTATGTGGAAGTTATGTGCCACATCCGGATACTTACATTCCAGTTCATGCGTCAAATGCATTGAAATCTCCCACTTCTTCCTCCCACTTGGCTGAAATAACCTGGTCTTATAATACAGAGGCTTGAATAAAATCTCAAAGGGATTTATTTTTTCTTGATAATTACCCCACTGCTGTCTTGTCCTGTGAATGCAAAGGCTTAGTGCTCCTCAAAGATTGCTATGGCAACACGCTACAATGTCTCAGAAACCAGGGTATACTTTACAGAAGAGAAGAGGGAATTTTAAAAAAATTAGGAGACTTGCAGGTATTCATGGATTCTCAATAACAGAAAAGCAAGTAAATGTTGCATGAAATTATAAAAAAACCTCAACACCAAGAAAGAGACAAAACAAAATGAAAACACACTTTTCTTCTACTAAAACTAAAGGAGGACTTACTTTATGTACAGTTACAGTATTACAAGTTGCTGTCATGTCAAAGTGCAGTGAAAACAATGAAAATCCTCTGTTTCGTTCACTGATTCTTTTCAATGACTTCAGAAATTGCTTCTTCATAGTTTCTTCTCTCAACTATGGCAGTGTGTATCCTCAAAAGATAACTGATACCACCAACTGTTTCATTGCTCTTAAAATAAGCAAATAAATATACGGCTAAGGACTTGGAGCTAGATGATGGAATTAAGAGTAAATACAAAAGAATGTCATCTTTCCATCTGGATGTTCGGAGCTTTGTGGGCTGTGAAGTCTGAGGGATGCAAAACACAAAAGGGTGGAAAATAGTAATCTGCTTATAAGTCTAAGAGCAGAAGCCCTTTACATTGTACTTTGCCACTTTTCTCACTATTCCCTGGTTACCTGAGAATGGCTGAGAAAAGGGCTTGTGAGAGAGGCGAGGAATTGCAAAACAGATTTCCTAGTCCTTATCGCCTTACCAACCACCACCTGTAAAACTCACTCTTCTGACTGCTGATGTTGAAATTAATCTCCTCAGAGCCAGCCTTGCCATAATTTTATTTTCTTCTGTCACTCTGAAAGTTCTTAATTTAGCTTAATCCTCCCCCCATCCTTAGATCCAAGCTCCCCTCCGTACAGTTGTGCTAAAGAAGCGTCTGTCTGCACCAGATGGCAGCTTCCCAGGCCAGCTTCATCGCAGCTCTCTGTTTTCAAGCACTTTCAAGGACAGCATGCTGCTTAGGAACAGCTCTTTGGAGGATGGTGATTCATCCAGATAACAGAATTCCAGCTCATTATGTGAAGCCATGCTGTATTTTTATAGCAAATATGTAAAATTTAAATATAGCTCACATTTTTCAGAAGTTTGCTTTTATCTGTTAGAAGCAGATTATTTTTAGATCATTATAAAGGGACTACACTGAACTTGACTGTTTTGACTCATTTTCCATTTTTTGTTTTAGATACAAAAGTCCTTTGAGAGCTTAGTAGATGCAATTTTATTCCATCCTCTGTTCACTGCTAGCTTTTCAATAGAAACCCAGTCTCCTTTATAATGCATTTCTCAGAAAACTCACTTATATAAATCCTGCAATTAATTTGATAAATATAGAAAAAACTTTCAGCTCAAGGGAAAAACAAACCCTCAAAGGCCCTTTGACAGCTGGTTCCGTAGGTTTATGATTGAAAATGTGATGGAGAATCTAGAAGTCACATAAATGCTAGCTAGTATTGATTTTATTAATAATAATGAGCAAATCTCATTATTTTTAATTCCAGTCAAATAGCAGGAGAATAATTTCCATTCAAATATCAGTTTTACGTAACCTATGAGGATGGGAGCCACCAAGCGGGAGGTTTTCAAACAGGAGGGGCAGTCAGCAAAGCTCTGTGTACCTGCATGAAGAAGCTTTGCCACAGGGGTGTGTGAGTGTATTTTAACAGATAATGAGCCCTAGCACAGCTAAGGCCAACGCGTGAATACGAAGGGGATTATATAGCAGCAGATTTGCTAATATTAACCTTTCCTCCCGTTAGAGCAGCCACATTAAAAAAAAAACAAACCTCAACTAATAAGCTATAATTGAGTAAATTTAATTTGCTTGACCTTGACTATTGGCTTCTGCTACCACCAATAGCCTTGAGGAAGAGCTAGATTTCTTTTTTTTTTTTTTTTAATTTTTATTTTTAATTATCATTTTGACTATGTACAAAATATGGGCTTTCCACTGGTGGATTTTAATATTTTAAGTGTCAGATTGAAAGTTATTTAGGAGCTCATGTCCATTGATTTCTATTTTAATTGGTGTCTGAGAAAGTTGTGATGCCCAAATGCCTTTGATTCTCATTCTACCTCATTTCAAACCTGTGCCGCACCTCGTTTGATGTTTGCCTTCTTTCCATGGACAAAGTGTTCACAAACATTCCTCACAGGGCCCACATATTGCTACTAATTAATTCCACTGCCATTATGCTGTGGAGTGACCATGGAGTAAAGCAAGGCCTTTACATGAATTTATCTTGAGTACGAGCCTGGAATATATGTGTGTGGGATTTTTTT